CAATGTCTCAGGCCAAATTTAATGCGAGACTTATTCTAAAGGTGGCTGAAGCATTCATAATGGAGGCTACTCAGGTTGATAAAGAAGTAAATTTTAATTAACAGCTTGGCATCTTGCGTTTTAACTAATGCCTCAAAAGACTTACTGAACAAATCAGAATACTAAAACAGCCTGTTGCGCCCCAAGACTTCTATGATGACGACAAAAAATATAATAATAATATGGTAGAACATGCATTGCCGACCTACAGAAAGGCTAGAGGGCTACTGGCACGTCCCGAAAGCCATGCCACCGAACGGAAGTACAGTTGCGGAACCTTAAATGTCCGCGAAACTCAAACTAAGTCTTAAACAAATAATCAGGGTATTACATTGCCTCCTTTTCCTTTTAAGCGTCATCCACGACCCCACCGCGCCAGTCATTGAATTTGCGTGCGACTGAGTGGATACCTGACTGCAACTTCACTGATCCCTCTTGGCGATTCTACCGGATCGGGAGTCTCGTCCTTCTTGGAACCTGCATTGGGGGAAGTGGAATGTGCTGGCCATTAAAGTTGTTCATCGCTAGTCGTAAGAACACGAGCCCAAAGGCAGTCAATTAGTAAGGAACGGAGTATAAAATAGGGTCGTGGAATGAAGTTTCGTGTCGATTCCTCCTTGCCACTTTCTTTTTTCTCTCTGGGGCAGGAGCTGTAGCGAGGTCACGTAATTGATATCCTTATAAAAGTACGATAGAGAGCTCCGGCACGAACTTTTCATTTAGTTTACGATCACGGATAGTGCCGCTCCAACCGTTAGTAGCATTCTCGCAAAACACGGGTCCAGAGAAATTTGCGAAGGTGGACGTCATTTTCAACCCTTCTATTAGGGGTTGTCACAGATTATTCCATCCTCAGCATACGCTCTTCTTCCGTCACAAAGTTTGTCATTCAGTAATATAAGTCAGGGTTTACTTCCCACTGCCTCCAATGTAGCGCCTTGTGACTCCCCTAAGACGAAAAAAGACACAATACTGGGGCGAATCTACATTATCCACATACAGAAGGGATAAGGGGCTACAGGGACGGCTCAATGTTTACGTCACCCAGTGGAAGTACATGAGCGGAGTCTTAGGTGCCTGCAAAATTAAAACGGAGAGTTAAGCAAACAACCCAAGTGGTCTAAACCCATATCTACGAGCCCCCATTCAAGCCTGATAAATGATCTAAAAAGAAGGGCAGTGGAAAGATGTAAAAAAACCAGGACCGCATTAATTTTGTTGATGTGAAAGTAATGTTATCAAACCCCGTATGAGAAGCCATTGAAGCTAGAAAAATGGCATAAGTCCTGATAACGCGTGTCTTCTGTGCAAAGATAACAGTAGACATCGGCAAAAGCCTTCAGCTTTCTTGCGATCGCTGAGCTGAAAACCCTTCGAGCATACCAGTAGGTCTAATATCTCACAAGTCAACGGTGACGACAATATGATTTTGGTACTGATTTTCCCATAAACTTAACTTGAATCAGCATTATCAATTTTAGTTTTTATTTCTTTTCACCAGTCTCTTCCCTTCGAACACGTGAAAGTCAGGATGCCGATGCCGTCTACAAATCATTCTCCTCTAGTTTGTTTAATTACATTTTAGCTCAGCAAATTTTATCGAATTATCTAAGGATTTCTAACTCTTAGGAAATCGGAATGGTATTCGTAAATATAAATGTTATTAATGTGGGCGTTTTCGGTGTTATTATGCCAGAAGGCCTCTTTTGCGTAAATTACCCGCCTTGAAGAAGGTGAACGTTAAGAGTTGGTGTGTTGGTGAACATTGAACCTCGACATCATGCCCCAAGGCAAGGACGAGCATTTCTGAATGACTGAGCAACACCGCGGCTACTTGGAGTCCACCGCACCGCGACCCCAAGCCGCAAAGTTCGCCATCTTCGCGAGAATGGAAGATGACGACGCAGTTGATTTTTTACTACAGCACTGCACTGTGCTGCCTCGTGCTTGATGCGTGGTGGCTTCGCAACACCTCAATTATCTGATTAACGTGCCACGCAGTTACATTAAACGAGATCCTAGCAGTTTCGTGGGAGGAATATAGGCGGGTGCGCCTTCAGCGATGCAGAAATTGCTCCATTCCGGTGCTAACATAGGATGGTAACCTTTTGGAGTACTCGAAATATTGTTGGCCTTTTCCCTTTAAAATAAGGTCACCAAATTAAAACCAGTATTTTGCGGCGAGAACTATCCATCTTTAGCACCAATACAAACTGAAGTGATTCAAAAATGATGGGTTTTCATGCGCTTGAAGAGAGCAGCATTTCACAACTGGAAAGTGGTTGAAGTCAACTTATGCAATGTTGAATGCTTTCCCAAGTGGCCAATTTGTGCTGAGCAATGCTTAGGATGTGAAGGCAAGATCGTTTTATCCCCCTCTTCAACAATGCACCTGTTCAAAGGTAGCAGATAAACAATTTTGTCCACTCACAGTAATGAGGGCCTTGACTGGTTAAAAAGGCCAAATAAGCGTACTTTCAGGTTTCTGTATTCGGAGGGTGTAATTTGACGCATTTTATGAAGATAAAGAACAAAGTGTTGAGTGGATTACACATTCACACCGAATCTTTACACATTGCTAAAGTAGCGAAACAGGGAAGGTTGTGTGCCTGGCATTGTCAAAAAGTGCCTTCATAAAATTTCTCATTATACCACTTATGTGCTCCAAAGGCATTGTCTAGGTAGCTTCCGCATCATCTCATCACAGAACTGATAGTCATGATTCTTTTTGATTAAAAAGCGAAAACCTTTCTCTGAAACGGCTAACACGAAGGCATAGGATTGGGCTTACTTCCAAAACATTTGCCGCCCACCAAACAAGAGATTTGTTTCCTGCAGCAAGCATAAATGTCATTTTTTCTTTTTAGGTGCTGCTCTTGTGGGCATAGCAATTCTTTCTAACTCGATTGTATGGAATTACCGGGAAGAGTGTTCGACCAAATTATAGAACTCATGTACCACAGTGTGATTGCATGATATTATCAGGTCATCTATTGAACAGAAGATATTGAGAAGGAAGTGAAGTTGCTTGAAAACATTCTAAATTATCCAGGTCAAGCGTTACCACCAATTCCACTATTTGGGCAATTTCGAGTCTTGGATTCCGCCTCAACATAATTCAGTTAAAACCGCGAAACAATCAACCAAACTTTACCTAAGAACGAAGACCTTCAGAGGTGCGAAAAAAGGCATAGGGAAAGACAGAAAAAAGCCTAAATAGCTAAAACATTTCCTGATATTTTGTGAGATTGGGTGATTCCTGAGATCACATGGTCAGCAACTGCCTGTCAAAAGTATTCTGAGATAGCGAACTTTGAGGAGATTTTCTGCCATCACAACAATGCAAAATCACCCGCGTTGCAACCATTGCATATTTGTTTGTAATTCCATTCGTTTTGGTCTTTCGCGAAGTCGCTGAATCGTAACGTGCGACTATGTGGATGTTAATTTGGCTAAAATTTGCCCACTTTGTCTTCTCAAAATTTACAGAAGTCGAAGCAACGGATGCAAAAGGAATTCCATCATTACAAACCTCGGACTAGCGGCTAAATGGTACGCAAGCAAATACAATATCCCGTAATTGCGCATCCGGATTCCTTAGGGCTAAACACAATGCGACTCCATCTTCAGCGTCTTTGATTTTGAGGAGAAAAATTGCAGAAATGTATGATACCAAACATGCAAGCAGGAGGACCTCAGACAGTTATTTTGTAATTAGTGGAACGATTGCCACTTGGCTGCCCCGATCTCTCCCCGACGTTTAAGGGAGTCGGTAAATACGTCGTAGGATTTTTTTGAAAGATTTGCTTTTAAATACTGAAAACATTGCGTAAACCGATTAACCAACATATTTTGATCGTCAAAAACTTGCACGTGGACAATTTCATGACTAAAGTCACTTCAACCCAATACCAAGAGGCAGCTTCAAGTGAAACAGATAAATTAAGTTTCAGGTTCCGCCTCAGTACCATGAATTGATTGATGATTCTGATGGATCACTTCCCGGTCAAGAGATCGTCTCCAACTGCCCCACGTTAACGTGACTTTCAACACCTTTAAAAACATCCGAAGACAAGTTTAGTCTGACACGGATTTTGATTTTGATAAACTACTTTGTTAGGGTGAAAGAGGGGAGTAAAAATGGAGACACATGACCTTACACGCACACAGAGGCTTGCAATAAGGCGTCACGCGTGCGTAGGCTAGTCGGCCGTTTGAGGACTGTTGTTTAAACTACTGCAAGAGCGTGCGTGTGAACCTGGCGAACGGTGACTCGCGCAGGTCACGTACGTTAGCGTGTACAAACATGCGGGCATCAACGCATGCGCCCACGCGTGCAGCTGAACAGGCTGGCAGTAACACGACAGAGGTCTCATGTCGGCATTGTTGAGTCTTAACTTCCGCTCTCTGGTGTCGATGTTGCTGCCGCCGAGACGTCACCACCACTTTTTTACATTGATTAGGCCGATTAAACCCCCCCCTCCCCGTGACACTGAGGCAGCTGATAACCAGCGGAGCGAAGCCTAGCCTATTTTTAAAGAAATCGTACTACTCCAAGGATAAAGTTGACAGGATGCTGCACCTCCAGACGTTACTTGCCATCCAACTAAACGTGCACCCAGCTCAGTAGATTGCAACGACCCTGAGAAGTCCACACCAAACAAAAGCCACCGAGGTATCAAGATGCCATTTGTGTCATGTAAACACACCATCAGCCTCGGAGAAGCCCCCAAAAGGCTACTTGAAGTATAATGAATGCACCTTGAGGCAGAGGGACAAGTCCGGAAGCAATTTTTCGTTGATATACGATAGTGAATCATCCCAGCTGAATGTACATAGAAATCAAGTAAAACGAGGAAAAGTATGTAGAAAGGAAGACGTGCAAGGAGTTTTGCGTCATTTTACATGCAAGCAGAAGAGTCAGAGAAGTCAATACACTGTGAAATGCGGAAGTTTGCGCCTTAAGCGTTTTGGGGATCCGATGAAAAATCTGCAGTAAAAGAATTTTGAGTAATTTTTATGTAGACAAAAAATAACACTTTACAAGATAAATGAACAGTTTCAAAGCACCGAAACATTACACATAAAAAAGAGCGTGTTGAATGGGAGCTACACTGAAATGAATTGGTTGTTTAATTTATTAATTGACCCAAAACTGCATGATAGATAAAAACTACAAAAGAGACTATAATAGTTGACATTGGAGACATACATTAACTTTTCTTTGTCTTCTTCACCTTCATCTAAAAGAAATATGATCGAACTAAGTGCAGGCAGTGCAAAATTGTGCAAGTTGTATTAGGATGCAGGCAACGAGTGTAACATGTTTACGAGTGCGACGCCACAACAACCTTGGGGAAATCACTCACCCTTGAGAAAGCAGTATCCATGGGGGACTAGAAAAGGCGAATCAACAAAATTCAAAAAAAACCCTAGGGATGACAAAATGACATGGGGATTGCGGCAGGAGCTTCCGACTATTCCGAGCCTTTTACTTTATTAGTAGCGAAGAGATTCAGTGAGTAGCATTTTTTTGATGAAATGCTCAAACTGTTTTCCAAAATGTCAGTTAACTAAGAATCGGGTCGACATAATAACCATGTCGAAATAGAAAACCAATTGTCAGCAATCTTTAAATCGACAAATCTTAAGCACATTCGATAGCACCAGCGAGCAGTACTACCTTATCGTTCCCGAAAATAGCCAGCAGGAGAAAGAAGAACATGATGCAGGCGCCGAACATAAGGAAGGCCGGAAAAATGTACTCCATTGTCGTATAATCCTCAACCAAACGCTTCACTTCAGATATAACAGGTTTCTCATCCATAGCAAAATACTTAAGAAGAGAAAGAAGTATTTTATAAAAGAGCTTGCTTGCAAAAAAAATTGTTAGCCAAGAAAATTTGTAAGAAGACTGTGAATTTCTAATACGTAAGAGATATAACTCACCAGGTAAAAGTACTAACAGCTACTTTTAAGTCTGAAAAAATTCTCCGGTCTACTAGTGTAGACTTTAAGTATAACTGTTTACTCAGGTGAATAAGCAATCAAATTACGAAAAGAGTGAAACTAAAGAATCACATTGAGTGGTGAAAAGAAATTAGAAGAACTTTTGTTGAAACCAACTTGATGTAGGGAGCTTAAGGTGCCGTCCGTTGAGCACGACTCAGAGAATGCTCAAATTGCTGCCTCGAACACAAACACAAAGTGACCTCACACTCGCTGCTCCAATCCTCGCAATCAATATCAACAATTCTAAGGTTGTTGCAAGAACAAATGAAAAGCTAAAAACAGCTGTCTGCATTTTAAAAAAATTATTAAGACATTTCATTTTAGGTCACTTTTGACGTTGGGTTTTGTTAGTGATCTTTTAATCTGTTTATTTAATTAGTTTTTGGCATGTTGTAGCTCCTTGAGGCTACCTACGGTCTAATGAGACAGTGTATTGTAAAAAGCTCAATAACCCAATGTATAGGGAAGTTCAGAGGTTATCAGAATGGCAAATAGGCCATGCCGTAGAGTGGAAGTGCCATCTCCAGGATCTCAAATACCCATGCACTTAAATACACAATCAAACAAATTACTATGGCGACACATTATCTTAGAGAAAGAAGTACAAATTGTTCTTACACGCATAAGTAGCCAAGTCGACCAAAACATGAACTCGTACCATATTTAACCTTAAATCTATTTTCCCTCGTAGCGCCACAGGTTATTTTCAATTATGATATAAAGTTGAGCCAGTCCCTCCCATAGTAGCAATCCACCATTCTAGTAGTAAAGAAAAGCTAGCAGCACTTAAAGTAATACTTGTATTGTTTATTCTTAGGTGCTAGAGTGGAAGCGGACAGTCGAAACTCGTGATTGTGGAGTGGCCAGAATCCTCCGAGCCAGGGGAGAGCTTAGTGTCTCCGTCTTCCTAAATCTATGCCTATCTCCACTTCTTTTAACCAGTAAATACGTCCCTTTCGATTCTGCCTCTACGTACTGAATCACTAATGGCTGAGACCGAAGTGTGGCCATGGATACACACGCATCAATGCCAATATCATATTATTGTAGCATCCCGAGACTCCCTGAAGACGAAATAAGACACGATACTCGGGCGGAATACATATATATTTAGCATAGAGGAAGTGTCTGGGCTATTGGCATGGCCCAAAAGGCCAGCCCACCCAGCAAGGTACAAGGGGGCTAATTCAAAGTACAAAGTGGCGCCTCACTAGAACCGGGGGATAAACCACTAGCGTATTGCATTACTATAATATGCTGCGTAATGCATTTTGCATGATTTGGTACTCTTCAAGCCAAAGTATTTTTTACCTTTGTTAAAATTTAGGCAACAATTTTACTATGATTAACGTCCTAGCCTTGTGATGTTGAGCTATTAACGACGGATAAAATACGTTCAAGTCATTGTAGCATTTCTGACTTATCTGAAGATGGAAGAAGTCAAATACTTGGATCAGATATGTATCGTTGATCTAAAAAGAGGTTTGGGGGTTACTGACACGGCCCAAGTACCAGGTCTTTACCTAAGGTACAGTGACAGTGACCCAAGCAACCCACTCCAAAAATGTGGAGTTAAGCAAACAAGTAGACCATTACACTTAGCTTATGAAAGTAGAACATTCTATGCGCTTTTGTAAAGCAGAAACTGCAGCTAAATGCCCATTGTAAACTTTTCAACCGAAATTTTGTCCTGTTAAAATGCGTTCGTCAGCAAATAAATTACTTTTTATGCATTTTGAGTGGAACGTAGCATAAAGGTTAGCATTTTAGAAAACACTGACCTAGTTGTAAAAATTATGTTGTTTATATGTTCTCTTGAGAGAGGAGGCAGGCATACGAATCGAATCTTTTGACTGAGTGGGAGCCAACGTCTCAGAACCCGGCGAAAGTTCCGTGCCCAAACCTTCCTGAACTTGTACCCCCTCTACCCATTTGCTTTGCCCAATAAACACCAAAAACCAAATCATTCTGGGTGTTTTCGAGTACTAAAGCCTAGGCAGAGGAGACTTACGAGCCTCGTCCTGTACAGCGCTACAGTTTCTATTAGTTTCCCTCTGAATGATACAAAGCTTGGGTATTAAGGCGTTCACTAAGCCTTGATGACATGAATCAGTAAAGCCAACATAACCTGGACTCTTTTAACCCACAATGCCAACGTTAACATTGTAGTTGTTTGGCATTTCGCCCATCAATATGTAGGTTTTACTCACGCCGTGTGGCGTAGAGCTCGGACCACGTAAGTATCCTCCCAACTTCTATGTGTTTGTCAGGACACAATTTTCGTTGATGCAACTTTAGCAAAAACTCGGTACGCTGCAACACCCATTTGACTTCACAATAAACTAAAGTGCAAAAGTCCCGTATGAATAACTTCACAAAACGTTGTTGCAATACTCATGTTGTTTAAATAGACCTTACAGAGGAAGAGGGCAGTTGACTCTAACCAGGTAACTGACAAGTAGTCAAAACCTCCCAAACTCGGGACCAGCTCTGTGTCCCGGTTTTCCTAAACTTGCGTCTGTCCCCATTTACGCGAAGCAATAAATCTGTCCAAGTCCAATCGGCCTCAGTGTTCTAAGAGTGTGAAAGTTAAGAACGGGAAGATGAACAAAGATAGTGCCTGTACAGGCAGAGCATTCATTTAAACTCAAGGAAAAAACCCTAGAATTTAAGGGTATCGAGAGCATTATTACTCTTACATTAATGCATTTGTGTACCAAGACATATTCTGCATAATGTGATTATGTACCAAAATAGTGTATAATGTCAACTTTTTTATTGTCATTAGACAAAAAGAATTTTGATGCATTGTGAGTGTGCCAATTCGCTCAGTCAGGCGTTAAATTTATTTGTGTTGTTGATAAATTCATAATTATTACTAGCCCGCGAAATACAATCCAGCCTAATATCTTTTGGGTCACAAATAGGTCAAATGAGTGTATATGTAAATAAATCAACATTCTTCAACTTTTCATATTTTAAGTTAGTAAACAACACTTCAATATGCTTCCACTCTCGTATCTCAATCGATATTTTGTCAACCACTGACCCAGCAATACATTGGTATTCAGTTGCCGCTGTTTATGTTTGGTAACGTCTCCAAGCCGTTGTTTGGATCTCAGCAACCTGCTGCGTTTGGCGCTACAACTCAAAGTGGGTTCTCGTTCGGCACCTCAACAACTCCTAATGCCTTCGGTTTTGGTGCCAAAACCACTACATCGTCAGCATTTAGTCTGGGTCCAACTCCCGCAAAGACTTCAACAAACATTTTTGGTGGATTGGGGACCGCGACTTCGAACGCATCGTCTTTTAGTTTTTCGGCTGCCACAAAACCAGGATCACTGTTTGGTAACGCTCGTGGCTCTGCACCGACGACTACGAAGCCGGGTTCTCTTTTCTCATTTTCATCGACTCAAGGTAGTCAAGCTACCTCTGGGCTGCAGCCAGGATCTGGGCTGTGTACGTATTTTGATTATTTACTACTTATTCATTTCTTGGCGTAACGTGTAATGCATCATTTGAATTTGGTTCCTAGTGTCTCAGAGTACGACTGTACAACAGCAGCAACAACAACGAACGCAGCAGTCAGTTGATGCTTTCTACGCATCTCTGTCACAGCCCATGCTATTTGGTGACGAACGAGACAACATAATTGCCCGACTGAATCAACTACAAGCCATGCTTGGTACAGGAATAGGCTATTCAGCCCTTGGAACCGTGACTTATACCCCAGACAATCCGTTCTCGCGTTTTCGTGGCGTAGCCTACAACGTCATGCCCACCAGTTCGGAGGCTGATGGTCTCGTTTGTATGGAATTGACCAAGGCCTTCGCTGACGTTCTTCCGCTGAAACAGGGCATTCAGGACTACATATTTAGGCTCCTTGGTGGTCGCGTCAACTATCAGCTCACGATTGAAGAAATCAGACCATCCGCTCGCTCTGAAAACAATACTGAGGTTGTCATCAAGGTTGTTGAACGCCTAGTGTCGGGTTAGTTGTGAACTTGCTTAATAGTCGACAGAGCTTCTTTTCTTCTTGCTTTCTTAGGTTAAGCACTGATGTGACTCAACTATATTAATTGTGCTTTTACGAGCCTATTTGGTCATTGTTATTTGTCTGCAAACGCTATAAATTTGCATTGGTGTTAACTTTAGTGGCACAAGCTAAATGGTGCAGTATTCATTGTTTTCGTTTCTCCATGAGACATCCCTAAGATTATTAATTTTTCACTCTAATCAACCCTGTGCGGTATTTAAGGTGCGACGCATATCGTGCCAGCCAGCGATTTGGCAAACTTCTTGTGCGGTCCAACCATTAAACCGCAGCTGGAGTCTCAGTTATGTGTCTGTCGCTTGATGCCGGAGCTGGCACCCTCCGCCTCGCAGATCAACGCCTACCTCGAGATCCCACCGGCAGGGTTTGATAAACGTGTCTGGCAACAGGTTGGTTTTCTCTCAGCAATCATCAGTAGAAACACGGGCATGGTAACACTTTATCGCCATTTTGACCTGGCGATTTCTGCTTAAACTGAGTGTTTCACGTGACAACATTAAACACAGTTGGCCAGGTTGTGTCAATAAGTGATCCCGATCAAACTTTTCAGGTAGAATCACATTCTTGGATTTGGCTGTGCTCACGTCTCTCATAAGTTGAACTGAATGTTGCGTAAATCGTTTTTGTTTTAGGGATTTGCAACTGTAGAACTTTATTTGTTGCTAATATGTTCATTTTTCGGAAACCAAACGCAAAACTGGTTAACTGAGAAACCCAAAAAAGACTGTCTGGAAATAACAGATCCAAGTGAAAAAATGTTTTGAAATAATTTAAATTGCGGGTGCAATTTGTTAAATACGCCATCGGTTATTGTTTTTTTTTTTCAAATTACGAACACCTTTGATAAACTTTTTTTTTTGGCGAGATTCAAAAAGTGATATTTTTCATTGTTTCCTGTGGCAAATGCTCTTTACAAATTCCTGAAGTGTACGAAGGTTTTCGTGAATTTTAGCATTACTTAGGAGGCCTGGCTCTCATTTGCTTTGCAGTAGTTAAAGTTATTATAAGTGATTTGCTCGAGGCATTGAATCATGCGGATATAATTGTGCCTTGTGCTAGATCCTCTAACAGCATCACAGAGCCTGTCCAGTCACGGTGGTAGGTAGTCTGAATTAAATTGCTTTATTTATTATTTTTTGGTCAGGCCCGGGAAGACAATCCGGCACCGAACCGTCTCATTCCCGTCCCCGTGATTGGATTTGCTGATCTGAAAAGACGCCGTGACGGGCAACTCCTCTTCGGTGACCAGCAGCGCAAGGCTATCAAGGTTAGTTCCTTGTGCGATTGTCAGCATTCATTCAGCTGCCTAATGTTCCGTCTGATTTTCTTGTGGTTTCTTGCACTATGTGAACATGGATAAGTGCTCGCAAATATGATTAATCGGGACAACTTGTGCCTTCCATTATAAATTTGGTGACGAAGCTACACTGAAAATTAGTTTTTAGGAAAATCTCGGATTCATCGCTTTTTTGGTTGTCAAAATTACACGGGTGGACAAAAAATTGCAGTAATTGCATCAGATTCCTTGTTACATGTATTTAAGGGCTCTGGGTAAAATACATCATCATTTTAGGTCTGGCTCTCTTGTATGGTGTTTTCGCTGTTCTGATTTATCTGTTTCTTTTGAGATCCTATGCTTTAACTTTATCTAAACAATAATGTCAACCGTCACCGATGGGATTTTGAGACCTTATCATGGAGTGCGTTTTTTTGATTTTGTATCCGTTCTTTTTCCCTTTTGAGTTAAATTCAGCTATCCACATTTCTGAATTTGACCTCATTAGTATGCCCCATTAGTGGCAAATGTGGGAAAAGTCGCAGTGCCACTTTTTGTAGATTATAGATTGATCTAATTTTAATGAACCAGATCCACTGTCGACCCGTAAGTACACTTGAAATATATTTCTTAGAAATAACATGGCGGTCTTACTTTTGTCATTTACTTGGTTTTAGCATCTACTATCTGCGGTCAGTGTACTACAAGCCCAACAGATGTCTACCTCACAAAGGATTGCTCAAATCAAGCGCAAACAGATTGAACTCAACCACCGCGTCCTGAAAGTGTGTCTCGGCCATATTGCTACTTTATTTTTTTCAGTAGCAACCACTACTACACTCATCTTTCCTTTCCTCAGCTCTTGGCGAAACAGACAGTAGCGCGCCGTGCAGGATTCGCCATCAGCGCGGAGGAGGAGGCGCTGCGATGTGCGCTGGATCACATCTGGTTGGAGATCACTGCGCCACGGGGTCTACGCGCCCGCATTCAGCAGCTGCTACCCAGCGTACGCACCAAGGCGACTGGTGGTGAGGTATCGAAGAGGCAGAATGCCACAGTGGCAGATGTCCCCGAGGATTCCGAGGGTTTTGCCGCCACTACGACCGCTTGGTGGCAGCATCCAGAGATCGTTGATGATTTGCGCGAGGTGAGCTGTCTACGTTGTGCTTGTGCGTTTGGGTAAATTGATCTTGTAGTTCTGATCTCCTTAGTGGCTGTTTTTCATTTAACTCTATCCTCCTTTTGCGTGGGAATTCCTAATTTATGCTAATTGCTGCGCTAATTGGAATTTCTTACATTAGTTTTTTTCAGTATACGATAAAACTGCTTCGTATCTTTGTGTCATTTCTATTTCTGCCAATAGCATTTTTTAGTGCCACTAATAACAGAAAGGTACTTTCCAGTTCTGATGAGCTAGTTTTATGTTGTAATCCAGGGTAGCCAACAATGTTATTTTCATTTCCAGTTTCTTCGTTTGAGCTCTATAAAATTTAGGAAGGCAGGTTGAAACAAGACTGCAGTTTTTGATCCATTATTCGATTTTCCTACCATTCGGATTATCTTATTTAACTGTGTGGTTCTCCTTTGATTGAATAAATACCGAATTTCATCTCATACTGTTGACCGTTTTTGATACTGAAGGTGTACCTGAAAAAGTAGTTCAAGACGCTGTTGTACCTACATTTCAAGTTAGTACAGATTTCATTCAATGAAATTGGTAGACATTCCTTTCCTGTTGATCTTTTAGCGATTTCCAGACATTTCAGAACTATTCATTGGTGTGGTCATTACACTCATCAATCACAACTTCGTCTTCTTGTAAGCATCGCCATCAAGTAGATTTTTTATTGAATTATTAATGCTATGTAAACTCTTACTCCATAATTACCGAAAAAATGACCTATTGGTCATAGAAATATGTTAATACCGCTGTATTTCAACCTTTCTAAACCTGTTCTGATATATCAAAGTCGAAACGAAGCTACAGGTTTTAAACCCCTATAATAAATAAGCAGACAGCTTCTGACTTTAATCGCCACCTGTCCTCCTACCGATGGTGATCGTACCTCAGGCAATAGTCGATAATAATCAGCTTCCATGTCTCATCCATTGTTCAAAGGAAAAGGAATCTGTCAGCATATGGAACTGTTGGTGTTATGGTTGGTAAATGAATGCTAGTTGGAATACATTGCTTCATGGCGTTGTGGTAATTTTGAGTTCTTTACCAGCGCATAATGGGAAAAGATGATCATCAAAATTTATCATCTCATCAAACGCGTCTAACTAATCCCAGATGTTACTTTTATCCCACTTTCGAATAGATTGCAGTCAGCTTTGGGCAAAGCTAAGTTAGGACAGAATGCAGCTCGTAAAATGAGATATGGCTATTTTGGTGGTTTGCTTTTCGATTCTGACTTTATTGACGATGTCAACCCTGTGGCAAGAACGCATATTGATGTCTAGTTATTCTTAGTAGATCCTCAAACACTTGAACCCAATCAGAGTCTTTCGCTGAAAAACTAATGAGTCTCGTCCATTCTCTCCTTAGTACTTGAGCCAACGGACCACGGGCATTAGAGAAATGCGACGTCTTCTAGCAGAGTTAAACACTGTGGTGCGGATTCTCACGGAGAAAGAGACGAAAACCTCCACCGTCCCCGGACTGACTAGTTACCCCGGCTTAGGGGTGAAGGTTGAGCCCACTTTATAGACCTAGGTAACTTGCCTTCATCAGTGTATTTTTGTATCTATCGCGTCTTTAATAAATGGCTCGTTATTTTACTTAAATGGGGTTTCGATCATTATTTTTTTAAATAAAATCTGTGCGGAGGTAATCATTAGATCCAAACAGAGTTGTTCATACGAATGCGATTCACGCTTTGAATCTACTCCCCTTTCGACTTAGTTTGAGGTGACCCTGTGTCAACGAGTCAGTTAAGCCGGGAACTTTTATTGAACCTTCAGAGAAGTTGGCTAAATATTCAAATTAACGCACGAGAGGGTGGTGACATCGCTGACCGCATTATTAACCTTTAAGTTGATCGGTGCCTTCGAATTGCCCTGCAGATCCCAGTGGGTTAGCTGTTGATCGTGAGAGGACAAAATAACTACGCGAATTGATAAGCTGGATTTCCTTGATAAATTAGCTATTGTAAAAGTAGTTTTTTTTTCTCTTAGGAATTTGAAACTATGCAGAAAAGCCCTGTGTGGGAGTGAACACCTTGAAGGGACTGATAAAATCCTCAGCGGGGAGTGACGTCCGATTTTCCCTCCAAACTGTTTATTACTTAACTAAAACAATTGGCATTTATTGGGGCTGGAAGTTTTTCAGAGAATACAAATTTAGCGGTCTGAATATCACTGTCAAAGGTTATGTGGGATTACTTCTGTGCCAAAATGCACTGTGAAATTTAAAGGCTATTTTTAGTGCACCAAGAATCATCCTTTCTTTGCACACTTGGAATGTTACTGTATGTCCCGACTGCACGCAGTACTACGAGGTGGTCTTGATTGCGTCGGTCTTGCTCCGCCCTTCAGCTACCGTGGCTCTTCACAGCAAAGCCATTCCTCTACTTCGTGTCGTCTTCAGGGGTCCCTTGAGGTTGTGAGGATGCGCTCGCTAATCACTGAGGGTGTTGACAGTATAGAAAGGAAACACCACTTTAGATAGTAGTTAGTAGATTTAGCCAAACAAATATTTCACCGAGAAGTTGCTTCCAAGAGGAGCAAGAAGTAAAGGCAGGTGAGGGGCGGTAGAGTCCACAATCCTTCATGCGTCCTAATAGGCCATCCGGAACAGTGAACCATAGGAAAGCTCTGGCAACTGGATTGATGTCTCGTGGAGAAAGGCATGGTTCGAATCAGCCCGGTTTAGTAGCCACCCCAAAACACAAACTAGCATCCAATGCGCTGTAAGGTTACTTACAGTTTGCAATCGTTATGGCTATTTGAGTTCAAAAACAATATTTAAACGGTTTTACGCAAGCAACATCATGGGGCGTACGACCATTATAATTGGCCACACCCGAGAAGACACTGGTAATGCTCATGCATTCTATTCACATTGACGGTGGCCAATAAGGGGGTTTAACTGGTACCACTATGCTCTTGTTCAAACCTGCACTTACGCGGCTCCCTAGCTTGAACGAAGGAGTCCGTCACCTATGCCACATTCGCTCCCTTTCCACGTCACAAAAGTACACAGACATGGGAGTATCGCCAGAGCATTCAAAACAAAGCAACTCCCCCAAGTATGCTTTTTTTGGTCTACTCAAACACCTGACTGGTTACCACAGTGCTGAGGTCTAAAATCGAGGTCATTTTCGCGGTTTGCAGGGGAAACAAGGAAGGGGGAGGGAAGGAGCGCAGATAGGACCGCATGAGTGCACCCTCTGTAGCCAATCAGCGTCGTGCACGGGCTCACCACGCACGCCACCGACTGGTAGAACGGGGGCGGGACGGTTCGATTGATTGAACGATTCGAGTGCGTTACTGGCGTAGACACCTCCACCTCGAGCAGGCGCACAGACGCGGGACCAGCACAAAAATTCCTGCTCCTTTTGTCGCGGTTGGTTTGGTTGTATTTTTATTACTGACTAACTGGCTGGTAAGTGATTGCCGGTACGTAGTCAGGATCTTGCACTTAGGTCAGTCGTTTTGCTACCCAAATCATTAATAAAGCAATAGTGATCAGATTAATTATGAAGAAATGCAGTTTTGAAGTATTCGAAGGTTTTAGACATTTTATAGATAGTTGCATACCCACCTGTACTCAGTGGTGCTTCAGCAGTAATGGATAAGCCCAATGCACCAATCGGCAGCAGCTATTAGAATTCATACTATGTGATCTATTAAGTGGAAAAATATTTTTCTACTCTTATCTAAGGCGGAAGTAATAAAAGAGCATAAACTTCGTGTAATTGTCCCAGGCAAAAGCCAAATACGGCCAACTAGGGGGACCGAAACGCCCTGATCAGGTGTTTGGGGGCAAGTTGTGTCTGGTTTGATTTCAAAGAATTTCACACTATTACAACTATTTCAGTGTTTATGGTACTCATTCCACAAATGTTGCCGGTGATACTGCTGCATGTGGCCGCAGTAGGATGTGTGAGGATTGAAGTCCCCGTTTTCAAGGACTACTTTATGCCCTGCAACATCTCTGCACTGCCTGCAAGACCTCGCATGGAGGACATCTATTGGTTCCAGGATGGTCGCCTTAACCGTGGTGTAAACGACTTTCTCCTTCCTCAAGGTGAAATCCCATTTGAAGGGATCAGTCCTAGTGCTGCAGGTGTCTATCGCTGTTGCTACAATGGTTCTATGAAGATTTCCTGTGCTGAGGTGGTTCACCTCATCGTGAAGGGTAAGCAAATTAGAGCTACCCCTCTCAAACCCCATGCTACTACAGGGCCGCGAGAGTCCAAAGGGGATTAGCGGTCAAACAATGTGCTTTCCTAATGCTCCACTAACTTTTGTGAACTTTGGACTCAAATCGCATTTATCACTCACATAGCTTAAGCACCCTCTAGGATGCAAGCCTTCAGAATTTGTAAACTGCGAAATTGATGTATTGCACCTCTGAAAGTCGCCTTTCCATTGCATTCACGAGTAGGCACGAAGTGGGGATTTTCTTATTAACAAACGACATTAATTTATGTTTCATTTTAGCTCCTCGACCGAACATTTTTCAACACACCCTACTGAACATTACACCCCATATTTTTCCAAGTGAGTCTACCCTATTGCTTCTTTGTTAAAAGTCAGCAGATTGCTGGTAACACTTTCTCACTTCCCCAGTCCATTTTAAAGGTCGCTCTCGAGACTGGCTGTGCCTCGTTATACCTGCTTAACATAAAATAAAGTCTTGCTGCAGTGCCGCTTAACCAGAATCCCACATCAAACAACCCTATTCTTTACCCAGCTGGAATTAATTGTAATGAGTCAAGTTATGGGTACGAATAGTAAGTAAACCAAAAGGAAAGTAGTGTTGGCGGGGTTCTAACTTTACCACTGCCATAAAATCACTAGTATCTTAAGACTTGCTGTAATTAAAAACACATCCGATGCCAGTGCAATATAGCCATACTAAGTAGTGAGAGACCAGTTCAAATGTCGGTGCTTCCGTCCTTCCAGACAACGTCTATTGGCTTCCCCAAATGCTCACAACACCTCTTGAGGTCGAGATGACTACTGAACCCCTCGAATTCAACTGCTTTTATTTCGCCCAGTCATCCGGTCCAAGGCGTCCACACGTCGCTTGGTACTTCAATGACCTCTACCCAGAGGACAGGCGATTTGAATCCCCCATACAGGAAGATGACAAGGTCAGTGCATTCTACTGAAAATTTACTACTGTATCAAGCTTTCAATCGGATGTTATTTCTACGTCCAGACTACGCTCCAGGCTCCCTCCTTGACTTGTTTTCAATGTCATGCTTTAAGATTTTCGACTCATGCGAGTCCATTTCCCGTGCCTTCAAATTTGCTTGCTCTTGACAACTAGTTTTACTTCTAGAAACAAATGTTTGCGTCATTTCCACAAAATCGCAATCATTAAGTGGTGAAAAAATGCTTTTTTGCCCACAAGTATATTTCAAAAAGTGATCTTAATTTATGAAGTAAAGGCACAAATCCAGTTTTCAAAATGCTTAGGAACTTTGTTTCCTTCACTGCCTTTAAACCTTTAATATGCGTCCACCAATCCTATAAAACGAATTCCTAAAGTTTTTCGTATGCTTCACAAGATAAACTGTAAAAAAAGCTGAAAATGAGTGGTGATTCTTTTGAGTTGACTGACTTCTCTCCAAAAGCAGACCTCTCGTTCTATGGCTGCTTTGTGTCGGGGACCAATTTCAATAAAGGAGCACCCTTATAGCGAAGTGTAAGCCTGGGATCCCAATTCTTTTTAATCTAAATCGGGCTAATAAAAATGTAAGCATTTAATCGGATCTCGAAATAATTTAGAAGTTGTAGTTATAAATTCTTGGAGGAACAAATATTTGGCTTCTTGTTTCTGAACCTGTAAGAATGCGAAAAATTTGAACAAGATCGAAGAAGGGGCTAGGGTATGCTGTGCTTGTGCCTTCCTCCTTTTTTGCGCAATTATGCTGCCCACTGTCAGTGGCAATGTCCAACACCCATACCTTTGCCCCATTCGTTACACATTGCGTGATCAAGCAAAAGTGGAGTATAATCTCTCGCTTTCTGTAAAATTAAAATGTTCTTTTTTTCCTCCAACCAATTTACCTTCACTTCGTATTACTCTGTTCAACTGAAGCGATACGTCGTAAAAACTATGGAAATTACCTGCGAGGAGGACTACATGCAGCATTCGAGGAGTCGCTGTTTCAAAAGCACCCTCATGGTACGACTTCCGAGCGACCTGCGGAGACGGACGGTCTACACGTGCGAGGTTCAAATGTTCAAGGCGGACGGATTGGTGGAGAATCAACTCAGTGTCGACTACCGACTTAGAAGTGACAACCGCCGTGATTCTGATTGGATTTATGGGTGAGCCTTTAGTTGTTGTTATGGGGTCCGCGGGGATCTCCCTCACAGGTAATCAGAATCCTCAGAATTCAGCTAATTGTAAAATTCGATACAGAATTAGCAGTCTCGACTTAAAGGGTATCCGTAAGGCACTCCCATACTACCTGATCACAGAACCAAGGCTAACTACTGTAGCTCTTGTCATTCAAGCTCATCTGACAAACTATTGAAAGGTGATTAAATAAATTTGTTATTAAACCCCTTTTGGCGTGACTCCTTGCAATTCCAGTGCACCACTAACTCTCATTTATGCTTTGAAGTACCTCTGACTTTTCTGGGCCGCTTGACTCCCATGCATAATAAAAGGCATTTAGTGTAAACTTGATCTTCTTGTCGCTTATCGTCAGAATTGGTGAGACCTTTAGTGTTGTAAACCTACTCTGTTTGTGCAAGTCAGTCATGCTATTGAAATCCGCATATCATCTGTGAAAAAAGGTGATATGGGTGGGACTAGGCTACGCCAAGAATTCACATGCCTCGCTTTTGGACTCTCCACATAAAGGCAGCAACTGGCCCTAATTTGGTCAAATAAATAAAAAGATTTTTCCACCATGCGCTAAAGCCAGCAATATGGCGCATCATTCACTTTTTAAAGGTTTTGCGATAAATGAGTTGGCAATCAAGAGAACTGTTAAAACTATGTTTCTTGGATGTTTTTTTAATTAATCCTTCTGTTTCTTTCACAGCAGAGCAAACCCTTTCGTCATCATATCAAATTCCCAAGCTCATAGTTTTCCCATCCTCATTTACATTGTTATTTCCCTGCAGGCTGACTGACATAGAGCGCTTCGGAGAGGACTGTGACCGATTCCCCAACGAGTCGCCACCACTAGAGGCCCTGATCCAGGAGTTGAACGCCTGCAAACGTAATTCCTTTTTGCGACTCTGGGTCTCTCCAGTCAATAGTGAAAAACTCGTCCAAGCCACGTGCTCCCGACCCGTGTTCTTGGTCTTTAATGAGCTTTTGCAACTCATTCGGCTTCCTCCAGATCCCCATGTCATCAGACTCTTTTTCAAAGTGGAAAACATCACCTCTGTGAGATCTCCGTTCGATGGTATCCTAAAGAGATATGGCAAGTTTCTGCTTGTAAGTTAAATTATTTAGTCGCAGGGGAGGGAGCATGCCACAGAGCTTTGACTACTGATCCTCTTGGTTCAGTAGCTGATAGCAGGTATTTTACAACCTTTTTGTTCAAGAATTTTATCTTTAAAAGAATTTTCGCTTCGACATTTTAGCAACGTGACGCCTTACCTATTTCCATACCAGACTTGTCATTTTAAAATAATGCACAGCTTTCTGGTCTAAAGACTAACCTTATTCTCAGTAAATAACTTCTAATGTTGGTCATTTTTTCCATTTTTCCATTTTCCATGATAGCCACCCTAGGAATATCTTCCACGAATCTGCCTGTGCCTTAAACGGAAAATCTTGCACCGAGCTCATTTGACCTCCTCGATCCTTTGGATGTTTTTTCTCAGTAGAGTAGGCTCCTTAATTGTTCGTCTCTTAAACGTAAGCATTTGAATAACTTTTTTGGGAAGAGAAATAAGTTTTCATGGAATATAACGGAATACAGCTGCGGAGGGATAACTTACGGTGAAATATGGGAATTAGACTAATACCTGATGCATGCATCGTAATATCCTGGTTTTGATACTGGAATTTTATCCACGCACAAAGTAAAAATCCAAGAAGGTAAATCAGCACGATTCTTTAAAAAGAAAACCCCTGTAAATGTCCAACAATAATCATGGAAATCACGATTCCTTTAGTTGTTGAACGAGTGCCTAGACAACAGATCGGACATAGTTAGGATAGATTCTTATCAAGTCGTTTGAAGGCAAGCTTTTTCAATTCAGCTGTGTAATCGGGTTATTTAAAAGTCATAGAGTAGGAATTTCTAGGTCACAATGTTTGACTGTAGGACGCTTTTATGTGCATAAATAAGGAAACTATGCACAAACTTTATCAAAGTCATCGACTATTCGTAATCATCTTGTACGAATCAGGTAAAAGACCTTTTTTAAAACGCAAGGAATTTCAGCTAAAGAATAGTTTTTGAACGCCGGTAGCGTCCTAATTCACCTAATCATTTATTACCTGTTGGAATTTGTGAAAAACGTAAATGCTGAGTAGTTTCTGGTTACGCTTAAGAAGTACTCTGCCTTGACGAAGAGTAAATAAAGAGCAATTCCTACAAAAGGAAATAAATTCATGTCAACGTGCTAATACAATTTGAATAGTGGGTGGTATGCTAACGTCCGATGCCTTCTTTTGGGCATTTGAAATAAGTTTTGGATGTTTTAACAAAGGTAGGTCTGCCCACTAATTTTTATCCCGGTTAGAACTATATCCTTCACTATTTGCGAATTGCGGTGAATTTGATCCGTAAGGCCGTCGAAATCCTACAACAGTCTGATGTTGGATGCCAAATAAAATACACATCATCTTCCCACGTTCCAGAGCTTTCTTGGCTCTAAGTGTTGAGAAAATGAGCCAATGAAATCTCTTACCGCAACTTTTCTGACATGGCATGCGCTCCTATCTCTGGCTTCATAGGAAGGTTGGAACTCCATCATATTTCCATTACAGAAGTCCGACGTGACGACGCTCCGCGTAGGAGGCAAGAAGCACCATTCGTTCGACACGACCCTACAGGGCAACGTCTCCCTCGACTGCCAACCCAGCCATGTTGTTGTATGTGTCTACGGACCCCTAGTTCAAATGAAGTTAGTCCACATGACCTGCTCCCCTTCGGGTAAGCACTAAATTTACAAAGTGGAAAAGTTGAGTGCTTATTTTCAATAATCAGTAATATTGTATTCCTTGGCTGAAAAATATATGGACCGATGGTTTGTCATCGAGGTACTGTAAAAATTTGCCTATGCCGTATGATTTCATTTAAAAAATTGTTTCTAGTAGTTTTTTAAGGATCAAATTAGGATTCCCAGTCGTGTTTTTCACATTTATCATATCTATATACAGTGGAAGCAATTGTTGTTCTTCGATGTGTCATGTAGTCTCCGGATCCGGCTCTTTCCCATTTCACTGCACTGCTGACATCGTTTTCGACTAAATAGTTGTGTTGTAAGTTTCAAAATGATAACCTGGTATTTGCAACTAGTTATCTCTGCATTGATGATAAAATTTTCCAAGGTGATGGGAAGTTTTTATCGAGATGCAAATGCGGCCGCATTCATCTCCAGCATCGTCCGAATGAGGGTTCATGGAGCATGACAGTGCAAATAAATAAGGTCGTCGAGCGCTCAGCTTTCAGTGTTTAATTGGTTTTAACTTGGTCTTTTAAGCCCCAATACAAATTCAACTTTTATTTATCCGGTCAAAAAGGCATCGCAAATAAGGAATGCCAAACATTTTTAAAAAAGCTTTGTCAAATGTTACATTATTCATCCAGAATCTGAGCTTCTTCGGGACAATGTACACGAATGGCTTGTGAATGGGGATATACTTTAATTTCATATAGGTAGGCAGTCTCTTGCTTTTTGAGGTGTGAGGCATTAAAAGCTGGACAAAGTTTTTCTTCTAATCAAGAATCGGCTTTGTTTGTAGTCTAACGCGGGTGATTATTGAGTTGAAATTCAACTGGAGGCGCAAACGACGGACCCTCAATAAATTGTAGCTTGCAGTAGACGAAATTTTTTCTCTTTCGGTGCACCTACTAAACTAAATTTTAATTTTATTAGAGTGGTTAACGATAAGTCTCTCTTCATTTGTTCTCAGAGTCATGCCATTTCATCTGCCAAGCTAATCTTCTTTAGCTGTCAGCATTCCTTGTAAGTAGGGCTTCTATGCAAATTTAGCCAAGGTTCGGTAGTGGTTCAAACCGAGTCACCTCCATGCCGAAAGTTGGCATTAATGATTTCCAGCTGGTGGAAGAGTTCCCCAACAGGGACAATTTCATATCACTCGAATTAGGAATTCGGCTTTTGACCTTGCTTTGCTGGAGACTTTGTTATTTTTGTTCACCCTGTGAAAAAATGCTCTGACCTTTACGATAGGTATGTAAGCTGCTAATTGTTTCACATTTTTGGGGTAATGTCAAAAATGGCAAAGTAGTTCAAAAAAGGTGACCACTCAGACTGACCTTCTTGACGAGATGGTCTGCAGTACTTAATTCTAAAAGCCTCATCGGGTACTTGATAATTTATCAGTGTGTTGTGTATACTTGTTTACGTTCGGAGAGAGCACAAAAAAAACTCTGCTTGACCACACGGCATCTCAGTTCAACTCCAGCCAATTTCTTTGTAATACGCCTAAAAATTCAATGGGTAATAAATACCTTGTCAATCCACAAGAACTAAATCAAAGTTTGATTCAACTTTGCCCTATGGGAATGCCCAAATTTGATAGATCATCTTTACAATTTTCATTCCCTTACAATAAAAATGATGTAATATAGGATTCTAGTCCATTTTTCTCCCCCTTGCTTTGCCTTCTCAGACCGTCACGAGGGTTTCTTACTCATCTGCATGGTCGTAGGTGGATTGGTAGTAGCAACTCTCCTATTCGTAGGACTTTATTTATGGCGACGTCAGTGCCTCAGCCGCCGTCACTACGCAGTGTGGAAAACAGTGGAGGCCTACACTAGCTCCTTGCTACTCGAGCGCCGTCTCTGCAGCCCGCCGCTGCCTACACCTCTGCCACGAGGGCCGAATAATTTCCACAGGGAGGCGGCACAGGCAAAAAAAGCTGCAGCGTTGGAGTATGTGAAATTGGGCAAGACCCGTTGGCCCCTTTCTGCCCGCAGTCTTCGATTGGAGGAGCAAATTGCTTGTGGAAGCTATGGCGACGTCTTCAAGGGAGTGCTTTTAACGTCTCCACCGGGACAGAGTCATGTGCTTCCACGTCCGATCGTCGCGAAGGTGCTTAATGGTGCGTTTAGTTTTATGTGAGAAAAGACAAACTTTTTTAGATTTTGCTCTCTTGTGAATAAAAATGATATTTTTGCATCACTTTTATCTGGTGGGGAAGTTTAACCTGCTTTATAATAATTTATGATCTTTGGAAAGCACGATGTTAGGATTTGAATTCGGAATTCCATTTTTTGCGCTTTTACCTCGTTGGAAAGCGACTTGATTGACTTGCTGTTGCGAGCTAAAGTGGCACTTGTTCCACTGCTTTTTTTGTTTCAAAATTTCATTAACCAATTCCGCAAGATCAATGTATACCTAAGGCCTAGACTTTGTGCAGATAAAACAGCAATTCTACTTTCCTTCTTAGCATTTTTTTATCAAATTAATAACACAGTCGGCTATAGATTTACCCATTAGCTGTCGGGGTGAGTAATGGAGGTAAAACAAGCATCTCAAACTTGTCCCGACGGTAGTTTTTCACCAGGATCTGATTTTAGCTGCCATACAAACTCTTTCAGAACCAACGGGTTTGAAAGCGGGCATTGGTATCATCTGAGTAGGTGTTGCCAGTTTTCGCTGTAGTCCTGATAGGGTTGAATACTTTTTAAGGAAAGCTATTGAAATCTCAACCTTGTTGTTTGTTTCAATTACATGTAGCCTTGGGAAGTTGGAGGTGATTCACGAGAGCAACATCTTCCTTGAGGCCAGATGAGGCTTCTGTTATATTTTTCAGACAAAAGTTTGTCGTAAATCTGTAAAGTACATTTCGCCAATTTTGACAAGTTAGTTTTGCTATCAAAACCACATCTTACTGGGCTCATTTAATAACTTCTAGACTGGCTTTGAACATGTATAGCCGAGACAATATCATTTTCAGGGTTTCCGTAGTCAAATTAGCAATAACTTATCTAACGGATCCGATCCCTCGGTATTAGCAGGTTTTTCCTTCTTCCTTCAGATGTCTACTTGAAAGACCACGTCCTCGAGTTTGCTAACGAGGTGGCTATTCTCCGTCTCATTGGCGCTCATCCCACCATCATCCAGTTTCTGGGCTGTGCGCATCGCACCAGTGAGTCACGACGACTTTTACTGCTTCAATCTCTATGCAAGTCTCGTTTTACAACTCCTGACGCAAAATTACTAGTACAATTTGTTCATGCAAACAATTTCTATGAATGAATTACTTTATTGAGTTAAAGTTATAACGAGCTGCCTAATGTCCTTGGGGTCCAGCTTTAAACAGGACTATGTAATCCCAACGCGGTTTGGATCAAGGTGACAAAGTGGCTATGCAAATAGCATATTAGCACCAGTTACCAGGAGGAAGAACGGAATCCGGTATGAGCGAATTTCTCAATAGACTGCTATGATGTGTTAGTTGAAAAATGTGCCTCTATGGCTGGTGGGGAGATGTTTAAAGAACATCTACTTTAAATAGATGAGACTGACAAAAGGTGTAGTGTAGTGTACTATAATGATTATTGGATTAATTTATTTATGCAAACAAACCAGCCTTTTAAAATTCCAAACTAATCCCACTTTCGCGGGGTAAGGCTTAAAAGATATTTCACTTTCAGAAACAAACACATAAAAGCTACCTGAAACTGTTCGGATAACCAAGAGGTTCATAACACTTAAGTAAGCAAAATTTTTGGGCTATTGTTTTAATTCGCGCGGTTTATTTTAAGCAGGCAGCCTTTTTCAGAACCGTTGGAGTGTTAAGGAAGAGCCTTAGGTGATGCGCCTTGTCCATGAAATGTTCAACACCGAGACATGAAGGAGAAGGAAGATAGAAAACACTTTCGAAGTGAACTATTTTAACAAATGGAGGATATTGTGAATGGCTAATCACTGTCATTAGGCGTCGCATGACGTTCGTTTCATCAGGCGAACCGCTAATTACATACCTTAGTCCCCTTCAGTGTTCATCGCCTTGAGTTAATCAGTATCACAAAATGAAACCCACTTTGAGCTAGGCAGGAACAATCACTAAAACAACCTTCAAGTCGCAATGCCAAGTTCTAAAACAAATGCTTTTTGGGAACAGTATTACAGGGGCTGCCATGAATATCAATCAATGGATTAATAACTTACGTCCCTGAAGTCTCATAATTCCAGTAACAAAAACCTTCAAACTCCATGGTTGTTGTTTCTCTTGCAATTAGTCTACCTCAAATCGTAAATGATTCGTGGGTTTCCAATAAGGTGTGAAAGAATTCTGTTGACGAATTCAAATTGCACAACGGTACAAGTTAACAGCACAAATGCGTGGCTCTTTTCTCCCAAAGATTTGAGTAACCGACCGGTGTTGGTGACGGAGTACGCTTCCCACGGCACGCTGTTGGGCTACTTACGAGCCCTGCGTCCGAACCGAGATACGGTGTTGGGTGAGGTCGTCATGACTTACTGGTGGACTAGAGCCAGGGCTCTTGTCGCGGACCTCTACTCCTTCGTCATTGACATTGCTAGTGCTCTAGTCTACCTTGAGGAAATCGCTGTACGTTGCCCATTTATACTTATGGTTGTCAGCGTACGTACCTTGATTTAAAAGCCTTGTTTAAAGATCGCTTACTTAAAGTGGCAGCGTTTCATTAGGATGATGCAAGTAGACTGTATTCAGATATTTGGGCTGGACCAGATTGCTACTTGACGCCTACGATGCGCTTGTTTCATGCTTAAAAAGCCTATGTCCTTACAAGGGGAATGTGTTTCTGTACGTTCCTTGATTTGTGAAGCGCCTTATTCTGCTCTTCTTCGTTACCCAATTTACATAGTAGGATATTCGAGGTCATATAGTGTAGACGGAAAAATTAGAGCCCATAAACTTGGCACATGTATCGCGATGTAGTGATGCGGGTACTTACAGTAACAGTAAACCCTACTTTATGTCTTCCTGCCAATCGAAGGTATCGAAACTTTCAGTTTTGGTGACAGTGATGCAGAACTTTTCTTTTACCATCAGGTGGTTCACAGTGATGTGGCAGCCCGCAACGTTCTGTTGACTGCATCCCTCACTGCAAAGTTAAACGACTTCGGGCTGGCCTGCGTCATTCCACACGGAAAGTTTGTAGAACTACCAGTAAGTTCCACGCTCAGAATTTTAAAATTATTTGAACGAGGTAGTGAAAGTTTTGCACTCGTTTGATATCCGAGTAATTTATTGGGTCCTTAAAGATGATTTTTTGTGCCTCATGCATATTCCCAGCTTTTTGGTCTCATTCTGACAGGGTTGAGAAGAAAGTTGTCGTTTTGACTTACACGTAACTCAAATATAATCTCACTTACCCTTAGGCATTGTTCTATTATACGCTTTAATAAAATATTGTGATGAACTTGTTTATACCTGCACAAAAACTGTTGCAAAACGTTACCTTACCCATTAAATCCCTTTGTGGTGCCTTTTCCTACTACTCCTGACTGTTGATCGAATTCCAACTGCTACTCATGGGAGAAATAAAGCTAATTTATTTCATTGGAAATTCTATCTGATTCCTTAAAGAACAAGCACAAATAACCGTTACATTGTACTCTCGTGCTAGTGACCCGCGTCATTCATAGCGGACTAGTAATGACCCGATGCGATATGATAAAGTGGCGAGCAACGTGGCGTTTTGGAATGTGTTTCTTCCCAGTTAAACTGAACCTACTCATAACCTCGTATTGTGTATAATTAAAAATGAACGCGCTTTCCCTTCTGGCCAAATTTCAAGCATATTTAAGCTCTTGTCTATGCACAACCATTAAACATATCCGCTATCAGGCTCCAAGGGGGAAAGTCGGAAACCACGGTGCGAATGCTTTGTTGTTTAAGCAGTGCATAATTTCCAAGTCGATTCAATGTTTGCTCGAAAGCTAAAAATGTGGTTATTTTCAAATCAAGAACGTTCTACATCCACTTTGTTGCAACACGACTTGATGCAGCCATTTATCATGAACCTATGTGGAATGGCAGGTCACATGTATGCGACGGTGATGAACCTTTTAAAGCGGAGGAGATGGAATAGTTATTCGGATAAGCAGATCCTATTTCCTTTAGTTGTTAGCATCAACGAATTGGTCTTCTTTGAGGACTTGACGCAATGTGCTCCTTTTCGAATATCTCTTTACTTTCGCCAAAGGCTACGAAGAAGGTTCCCGTGCGTTGGTCAGCACCGGAGGTGCTTCAAGAGAACCGTCGGCACGCGCGCAGTGATGTTTGGTCCTTTGGGGTGCTGTTGTGGGAGACCTTTGCGGTGGGAGAAACGCCCTACGAAGACCTGCCTTCGGAGTCTGCAGTGGGCGTCTTTGTGGGACGAGAGGGTGGGCGGCTCCCACGGCCTACCTTAGCCTCCGGCACCCTCTACAGCCTCATGACCGCTTGCTGGGCCGCTTCCGTCGACGCGAGACCTGACTTCCGCACCCTGCTCGAGGATCTCAGCAGAGAGGCCGCACTAGAGAGGAAGAAGAGTGAAGACGCCAATCTACTAAGTCATGTGGGTGAAGACCTCGTTTTATTCCAGTGGTGGAGGCTTCGATTAAGCGCTCATTTTAACGATTGGCGTGTCCGATGCTCTGCCCAGACTGTTTACCACCCCTACCAAACACTGGCCTCGTACAGTAGTTCTTTTTTGTTTATTACCAGTGATTTATTGGTAAGCTGTGTGAATCACTAAAAGTGAGGTCATCTCGTGCGCTAGTGCTCATAAGAATGCCTACAGGGTGCCGTTTAAAAAATACTATGCGGCTTGTAAAAAGCATTCATATTACAACTATTTATTCAAAAATAACCTTTATTTTTTACAAATCGAAAAATTGCTTTACGGTACTCTTACTAGTTTTTAAGTCTTCAATTTGGAACATCTTTATTTTGGTGATGAAATTAACTTAAAAAAAGAGACGATAGTTTTTTTCTCTCCTTATTTATAAGTAGTCGCATGATTATTTGGCTAATACTGTACCTTCTGAGCTGCATCATTCTCATTTTTTACGTCATTTTTTCTGGTTAATTCATTGGATGATAATGGGAAAAGGACATCTCAACAGCCTTTCGTGTTTGGCAGGAAACATTGGGCTTTCTACATACAAATCTGACTACCATTGCCTTTTACTGCTTCACTTCAATCTCTTGTTATTCTTAACTTGATTTGGATCATAATTTTATTAAAACTAGCATCTACGAGGTTTTGGTCATTGAAGAGTACCTGAAATATGATTTAAAGCTCACTTTTCCTAAAACCGTCATTGAGTGCTTCTTTTATTCAAATTCATTTTTAAAAGTATTGTGTTACATTATCCTTTCTCCAAGTGAAATTGTTACCAAGGCGCCTTTGCAAAAGGTTTACTTGGCTACTTTACTGCACTGCTTGTTTTGACTTTTAAGATGGCTTTCATGGTAACGCATCTCTCAAAAGGACTTCATTGAAAAGCTCGCAATTCTCACATGCATGAGATTTGAGAATGACTTCTAGAATCGGGACCTGGTATTCAACTAATTGTTAACAAAGTCGTATTCGCTCCTTCGTACTTCCAGTCAAAGTAAACGTTGCTATTGCTCTATTTTTTTGTGCGCCATTCTTGGTACATCATTCGAAAGTCGATTTTTCTAAGATTTCATTCATTTGACTAGTACCTCTATCACTTTGTTGGTAAAAGAAAAAAGACGGTGTTATGTCCTATTGAAAAATTACATTAATTTTCATTCATAGGCCATCTGCTTAAAATTTGTCTACCCTTGTATCCATTCTGAGAAATATTCTTGTGGTAGTTGTTGGTGATCAAATCAAGGCGTTCGGAATCAAGGCAACTGTTATGTGACTTCTATCCGACCTTCCTTATTCCTTGTAATATTCCCTAGAAATCGTTGTCGGTTCCTTACCTAGCTGAGTGCGGAAGGCTTTTTCTACCCTGTTTCTTGAGCCAATGCACCCTGTTTGCACTATCACGTCTTAATTTACCTAGAAACCCGGAAGGCCCTTCCATACCCTCGTCTAACATTTGAATATTTGCGCAATTTCTCTAGTTTTCCAAAACAACCTTGGATTGGTAGAGCTCAATATGATCCCATGTTCTTAGGCCATTTTTAAAGTCCTACGGGAATTCGCCAACAATTATTAATATTTCCACGGCTGTTCTATAGGAATAAATACAAAATTGTGATACATTACGTATCCCCTAACTCCTCGTTTAAACAGGTTATCTTGAATGTTCTCTTAAAATCTCGGGACTGCTAGCGTCAAAAGTTGTGGAACTTAAATGCGACTACTTACATTCAAGCTGTTTATAAGGACAAAAAGCACCTAATTTTTTTTATCTACAGACTTATCTCCCCATGAGCATGCAAGGATCGCCAGCAAAATTCTGAGTCGTGGGCGCCTCAGCCTTTAAAATGATCGGCTGCCCACGCTCGACAGCGCTGACGAGGCATAAACACAAGTTGTCATCCAGCAATCAGAGGGTCCCAGGAACCCGCCTCCAATTGGAGAGAAGATTCCTCATTATTTTTAAGAATAAATGTTGAGACAAAAGTTCTCTCAAAAGATAACGTCCTTGCCTGCATGAGTTTGTAGTTTAACAAACAATCAAGCAGATTTCGTAGTGTGAGAAATATACCTTTAACGTCCTAGCTATGGCGCTCCACAGCGTAATCTCTGCCAGCTCAACTTTCCATGTTCAACAAATTTGTGGATCATTCTCGTGGGTACTGATGGAGGCCAGTAGAGTTAGGCTGATAATCAGTGTTGATGGGTGTCTGCAAGTTTGGTTTCGTGGTCGGTAAACGCCGGGAGGCGCCGAAGGCTCGGAAGTGCTGGTTGGTGCCCGAGGTAGAGCTTGCTATTTGTCAACGCATGGTTCACCACGGTTACACAGAGTTGTAAATTCGATTGTGGCGCATAAAGTAGGGTGAGACCTCGACAGATTAAGGTTTTTTACTTTCATTCAAGGGATTCAGATCGTTTCGGGCCACAAAAGCTTGAAATACCATGACTGCAACGAGCATGTTTAGGTATTAAACCATATTTGCAGAAAAAAATTTGTTTTATCAAAAGAAATGGTCTGGTACTTCGGGAACGCCATTCTGAGGGCCAAAATAGAGAGGACTGTGTAAACGTTGAGTTCCTTGTGGAATATCAGTCGGTGCTGCACCATTACGATTGTTCTCAGCATTTAGTGTGCTTAAGCCATGAAGTTTGCTTCTAACCTTTTGATCACAGCATTTATCTTTTCTGTACCGTTGGGATGTGGGGAAGTACCCGCAATAGTGCTGGGGATGTACAACCTTAGAAAGTGCCCTATCTCGGTTTTTTTATTCTGTTCCTGACCTCTAAGCACTCTAGAGTATAGATTTGCGTATTGAAGTTCTTGCTGCTGATTATTTTTGTTGGAAGCTCGAGAGGATTAAGGTTTACATACGTACAAGCACAGAGCTAGTAACTCGTAAGAATGGGTAGCCGCTTTCCCCGCGCTCCTGTTTTCCGTTTCTATACTTGTATGCTTGTTCTAACTTTTTAATCTATTTCCAGTGACTAGCATTGGGATTGGTCTTGTTCGAATAGTAAAACTGTTCGCGAGACTATTTTCGCTTTTGCCTTAGCGCTTCAATTTCTGATGTGTGCCAGACTCGCTCAAGACGAGTCCAATCTTCAGAATTACCCACAACATTAATGTCGATTCACATGATCTAGTCCTTTTACGGTAATAAAATCCAAAACTACTAATATGATTGGTAATGGGTCAAAATGTGGTCGCAGTTCACCCCGAGGAACACAGAAGCAAGACCCTGGAATTTAAATCTCGTTCTATAGCGCTCTAGTTAAGTCAGAAGATTCGATATACTGTCAAGGAGGGCTGGAGGCAGCAGTATAAACCTTTAGCAAAGCATCCTAATCAGTGCCTTGAACCCTTCGAAGAAGGCAAAAAGAGAGATGATTTCGCAGTGTCTAACCATTGAAGTGTTTGGTGCTGATACCACCGGGTGTGTGGCCAAACTGGCTATAACTGAAAGAAATTAATGGTGGATAGATACGGGCTTGTTGGCCCGACATTTTGACATCTCATAAATAAGGAAGACCATAAAGATTGTATCGGGGCGTCAATCAGATAAGGTGTCAAACCAAACCTTCCGGATAGTACTTAGTTGTTGCCAGTCGACATGTGCCTATTCGATGAGAATCTAGAAACCAATTTGTTTAAAGAGTGAACTGAACTTAGATAAAGATATCACCCTAGATTTTGCATTATAAATGATGGAATTGTTTCATTCCCTAACGAATGCTGAATTAAGCTGTCCTGACTTTCAATGTGCAAGTACGTGCCTACTCGGACCAACTGCTTCATTGTTGTGGACGTTGTCTGTCCTCCTAAACACCTTTCTAAAACAAAAATGCGCTTTTGCACTTTGTCAAAACAAAAGGAAGAGTGGAATTCTCAGCTAACTCGAATATTTACACATAAGGAAGCGGGTAAATTCTACGGATTGATTAGGGGCCGGAGTAGTCGTCGATTTAGACCGCTTAGCCGAAATTTTCTGGAAACTCTACACCACAGAAGCATCTGTATTCGAGCCACTTCAAGTCTACAGACCGAGCACTAGTAATTTCATTTTTGTGCACGCAACAAGCTGTGATAAACGCATGTTTGCTTGTCATCAAAATAAAATTAAATGCTAACATAAAATTTAAGTAAAACCGTTATTACCTCTTCCAGAATAGGAGTGAGTTTAAATGTCTTTATTGTGCATAAAATGGAAACGAAATGACTAAGTGCTGACAGAGCAGAGAAAACAGGCAAAAACGAAGAGTGATTATTAAAACGCATTCGCCGGATCGGCGTCAAACGGAGGCTGAGAATCCAAGTTCCGGAGATTTTGGCCCTTTTAGCCCATGTTGAGGGTGCCAGCGCCTTGACCGAAGCCGAATCCCTTGGGTCCAAAATTCTTCCCATAGCATGCTGATAGGAATGAGAGCAGGAAAGGTCGCTTTCAATCATTAGCAATCGTTGCCGCCAACACACGCATGTGACGCTCCAATTTTTCTGTTTCACAAATATGTGGCACGTCTCAGGTCAGTTTATGACAGACTGGTGGAATTAAGCCGTATTGGCAAAAGGTTGGCTTAGTTGAGGGCAATTAAGTAAATGCAGAATGTTCTTGGCCTGGAAAAAATTACCATTTTTAGTTTTGGGGAAATTTTTTAGTAAAAAACAGCAACAATTGGCGGCATATTGAAGGAATACAAGGTTTGGGCTGTGGCAGTCGAGTTTCGCTGTTAAATTATCACTCCGTCTACGTCAACAGGCTTTCGCGGTTGCCTGCCTATGAGTGGCTGCAGTAATTGCTGGAATGATGTGGTGCATTATATATGGGCCCACTTTCTGGGTTTACACATCACCAAGACTACAATCATTTTGGATTTATAATTCAGTCAGTGCTTCAGTGAAGAGTTTTCCAAGTTGTAGCCTTGCCAATAAGTACACCACCAAATCCTTTGCAAATACCTAAGACGACTTTAAGGTGTCAGGTCAACCTTGGGGTAAAACAAGTACATTGAGATTAAGCGCTTGAATGAATAAAATACTCGTGTTCTAGTTGCAACTTGTCGAAGCTAACTGTTGGTGAGAAAGACTCAGTTACGGATCTAAGCAACTGTTAGGACAACTTACTTTTACAGTAAATCTCGAGGTCCTTCGTAGCGAGATTAGTCGAGTCCAGAGACTTGCCGCAGGTCTGGCAACGGAAGCAGCGCTTGTGGAATTTCAGCTAAAAACAGTAATTATAAAGTGTTTTTGAGGTTAGATTCAAATGGGTTCTCCACGCCGTCAGAACTTTCAGTCGATTAAACAATTTTTAGTAAACTTGTAATTGTATTTTATTTATGAAAATTTGTTTCTTATTTACAGGAAAACTAGGTTCTCTTTAATTCAGCATTCCCACACTACCCCAATTTGAAAACGGTTTCGTCTACGAGACAAAGTTCTTGATGAATGTCGCGATGCGTCAAAGTGTGTTATTCAGGTTTGCTTGGCAAAGTTCAGCAATTGCCCCTGACCAAACAAACCAGGGCTCAATATGTTGGCTCAGTAATGAGTTGCAGTTTTTTAAAGGCCCGATGTTATTTCTTAAAAAAGTAGTGGAAGTAAAATAAAACTACCCACATTATGCAGGCGTTAGCATATAATTTAGTGAGCTGTCAACATTTTATGGGGTCCCTAATGAATCCCTTAATGCGTGATATTTATTCTAATTTTAATGCCACAACTTTTCTCTTTCCAACACTCAATTGGCGAAAAAGGGTCATTGGTTAATAAATCACCCCAATTCTTTATTACGTGCCGACCCTCGAGGCAGAAAAAACAATGACAATGGCAATGTTCCAAAGTGCTGTACGAATCAAGCTGAGACTCAGGTAGCAGCCTCAGCTTTATCATCCACGGGACAGAAAGTTTAGCTGCAGCACTAGCTTTGACCAGGTCTCAAGGGTGAAATAAGTCGGTAAAGGTTTCGGCTGTAGACTTACATCACCAGGGCATCCTATGGCTTTTTCAGCGTCATAGACGCGTTGGCCACAACGGGGACAGCCACCCGATTTGGGACTCACCGCTCTCGGCTGACCGGACTTGGGCCCGCTACTGTGGGGATAAAGAGGGCGAAGAGAAGAGGTTAACGAAAGGAAATTAGTGTGTGGCTAAATTGTACGATTCGACGAAATCTTAGCATAATGTTGGTCTATCACACGACGGGTTCTACGCCGATCAAGCCGTTAACGCTTCCAGCATCCTGGGTAGTCAGTATTAGTATAATCAAGCTATGCAAGATCTCCCACAGCCTCTTTGGTTGAGGATACACATTAAATAATGTTGAAGATCGGGCTCTAAAAACTTTTATTCAAAAATATTAGGCATAACAAAGAATTAATTGGACTTCGAATTTAAGTATATAGAGCAATTTAGAACGAAGAAGAAGTATAAGCAGTTGGGAAATATTGTTTGAAAGGTATAGAGATGTTAAGCGTGTGACTTTTATTTCCAAATCAGTAGGGAGTTAAAGTTTCGAGGATTCCAAAATCCTAACCGAAATCGAATTCGCACGCCCCGCAGTAAGACGGTTGAAGAGACTCCTCCTCAAATGATACTGGTAAGTGTAACATAAGATGCCGCATCAAAGCTTATTAATACGGGATCATAATGCAGAAATTACCCAGAGTTGGTTGATGAGCCCTGTATCAGAAGACGATAGATATCATGAGTAAAATTGGCTCGGGGGTTCTAATGAGAAAACCGGATAATATACACCCATTCCGATTCATTTTATTGAAGCAGTATCTTTGAGGGTTCTTGTGGACATCATCCTTAAAATTGACTAGTGGTTTTTATAAATTCGAGTACAATCCAAGTGGGTGAATAGAAGAAGCTTATTATGAAGTAAATAAAAAGACAATTTCAAAATGTCTCCCCCGGACTCTACCTACCAGTTCTATGCATTTCAATCAAGATTTCAGAGGATCCTTTCAAGTAGGAGCAGTACATCTATTAATCTAGAATGCAAAACTGGAGTACAAAACACGAAATCCCACAGTGCACCTTTGGCCGTATTTATTAGGGCCAAACCGCCTTAAAACCCAAGAACATTAATGGCCATTTCAGTTTGTACTTCAAGTCATTGGTCGCATTGGATTTCTTTTATATGCGAGTTTGAACCGGCAATGCAAAACCAATGTGGCGCAATAAGGCATTGCCAAGACAAGCTTAAATGAAGATAAAGAGTACAAAATGAAGGCACCTGTACTTTGTGAGGAGGTCAGTCCAATACATTATGCTCTAGGTGCCGCGACATGCCAACCAACAAATATAGAAAAAGAAATCCAAATGTGACACTTACAAAGCACGAAATACTAGCATGACCAGATGAAGTGTTGTTGTCCATACAAAAATTACCAAACCCTTATCCTTTCTACGTAGATGATTCGGATTCACGGGTTAACGCATGGAGGGGGAAACATTAACAATCGCTTGAACCACAGGCCGCTTGCACGCACAGGCATGAAGACGATCGTTTTTTTTTCACGTCCTGAAACGCGACGGCCTAGCGGGAATTTAAATGAAAAACTTACGCAGCGCCACCCTCAGTGCCAGGTCCAGTGGCTTTCTCGGTGTTGAGGACACCGGCGCCTTGACCGAAGCCGTAGCCCTTGGGACCAAACTCGCGACCGTGGCAAGTCTTGCAGTAGAGGGTTCGCTGGTGCTGCGCTCCTGTAGTGCTGTCTACGGGCTTGTTGCACAGAGCTGAAATAAGTTAAGGACATGGAGATATGATGAATAGACTCAGAAATGAGACGAAACACCCAAGTTATTCTAACAAATTCTCATAAATCTTCAAAAAGTAGCGCCCAAAAGTAATGAAATGCAAACCAATGACCCGATAATGTTGCATTTCTAACTGGACACTTGTACTAGCCTCACTTAGACAGCCTAAGACATCGGTAGTTAATGGTGTTACAATAAGCAAATGCCTAAAATGAAAGCAAAATTAAATCTCTCTAATACCTCTTACACTTGTTACATCAAAATTGAATCCTCTATAACTCAAAACACCTTTTCGAAATAATGACCAAATAATTGAAAATAAACAGACTGAATCGAAGCCATATTTTAACACACTACGTTTGAATACTTTGACTAAAAGCGGGATTTTCTACGTAATGGACTTGAATGTATGAGGACTGACTACATTTTTTAGGCTTTAGCATCATCAACATCGTCGGCTACAAAGAATAGGTGGTCATTGGGGATTTTGAAATGAGACTTCTTAAGTAACGCTGAAGAGCTAACGTAAAACAACCGTGCGAAAATACGTATCAATCTGGAAGTAGAAAGAGGCTTCAAGAAATGAATTCGTAACGGGCGTTTTTGCCACCACATTTAAATGCTATTCCTCGCATGCACAGCCTCCAAGTACTTGCCACATCGAGCTTACGTTATCCCGAGTAATAATGATTAATAACTGATGTTAACAAATAATAATGATTAATAGCATTTCATGTCTTACACAGCCTCCTGCTCCCTCTCTCTTTTAAGTCCTATCGTCGATGTTTCAAAGCATTAAAACACCATAGTTGTAAATTGCGTTACGAATGAAGATCCACCACCTTTCATGTGCCAAGGTCATTGTCCCCAGTGCTTATGATGTGAGACAAATCACTGCGCGGTGACCAAAAGCCTGCTGTTTTAATTACAATCTTTACGAAATAACTCACAGCACTTGAAGCACTGCTTGTGGTAGGCAACGTCCCCAAAACGACGCTCCTCCGCCGCGTAGACAGGCTTATCGCAGGAGCCGCATTTGTTGGACATCTTTTATTAGGAAGCAGTGAAAACTGGCGCTAGCAATCTGCAATTTGTGTGATGTTGGTGCCGAATTCAGGGCCTTTAGCAGTTGAATGGGCGATTTTCCTTCCCTTTGGTTCAATACATAGGAGATCAATGAGACACCAAGTGTGTATGCGCCAATCAGATCGGGAAGCCATCATGACCTTCCGACTGCACACGGGCACCCCATTGGGCAGAAGGTTGAACGCAAGTGCGGACGCGCAAGGGGAATGCCATATCATGGCCTTCACTGCCCGTACACCTTCATTCGCCACCAAGTCGGTATAGACGGCAAATTCATCTTCCGTGATGCTCTATATTTTGGGAAATTTGACCTCGTAAAGAGGAAGTATGGTTCATATAACTGGGAAGCAATAGCTATAGGCATAGTTAACAAAACGTTGCACTGTCTCAAATTGGTTTAGACCACCTATTTATCACTGAAGGAGGAAATTGTTCGGTTTCTTTAAAGGCTCCCATTCGCCTAAATATCGAATAAGTATTTGTGAATGAGTGGTACTTGTTTAAGCTGATTTGTTAATTACATAGTCCCTTCTATTCCTGAAGGTTCCGATCGTCATCTTTGTGTCATGGCACTTCGTCTACTCAAATCAAACTTAAAGCTCACCAAACTTTCTGCCCACAGAGAGCAGAGTTGTGTCTAGGCATAGCCCTCGGAGAGGACTTGTAAGTGAAAATTTCTTAATTTAGACACGATGATGGTCGGTTAAGCGTAAAATGCTATAAAAGATGATAATAACGGTGAAACAAAAACTACATTGAATATTAAGACAACCAGACTGAAAAGGGAATGATTTGCATAAATGTGCACGAATATATAGTTAATAAGTGGTTTGTAAAAAAATAGTTGATGCATTAAACTCAGGTGAGTTTGTTTCGCCTGTGGGCAAGAAGAAGGTGTAGTAAAACTGCTATAAAGACGGTTTATTAAGTATGATAAGGAACTCGATCTGCGCCAACATTTGGCATCACAGGTAAAAATAGCAAGCATAATAGCTTTGGGAGGTATGTAAAGCCAAAACAAACTGAATGGCACGCAAGACATCCTAAAACATGCCCTTAGTTTACATTCGATGTGATTGCGATGAGTGACTGCGATTAAAATTGTAAAATACAAATTCTTGTTTTAGGCAGTATAGCCCAACAAAGGAATAGCACTTCCTAATTATAACTTTCTATTGTGCTCTAACGCAAAATTACCAAACCTTTAGGTGGCTGCTAAAAATATGTCATCTAAGTGCGTCACATAAAGATAGGCACAGGGTACAAGTAAGTACTCAAATAGTACTTGCCCATAAATTGAAACTTGGGGTGACTAGTACTGAAATGCATACATTGCTAATGCGCAGTTAAGGTGAGATAGAGATGGCCTTATTTTACATTAGTCTTCCGCACGAATCGCTGATAAAACAGCAATGGGGTGGAATGGGAATCGGTCGAATTCTAAGCAAATGTCAAAAATTTGGGAGTTGGCTTAACCGTGGGTTTGAAAGCAAGAGGTCTTAAGTCTCCGCGGATTGTACCTCCCCTCAGTTTCATGACCTCCGGGCGATGCCTTTAGCATTAACCCATTTGGAAGAATAAAAGAGCAGCGTCTAAACATACCAAAGGTTAGCTTCTCTATTTAGTCGTAGCAAAAAAAATGATAATTGGCTTGTGAAGTAAAGATGTACACACTTGTATGAGAGCCACAGATATGCAAAACTAACCCTGATGAAGGAGTGAGTGCATGAAGCTAAACAATGGGAGAAGATTTAAATGAAGGTTTCAAGGAAATACAATCCTAAATAAAGCAAGAATTACGTCAAAATTCATCAGCAGCTTACAAACCTTATCACAGGAAGTAATAATTTGATAAAGACTGAGGAACAAATACCTATCCTTACAGAATTTGCGCATAATATCCAAAGATCACGAATCGATTAAAAACTGAGTTAATGATTATGAGGTTACTTTAGTACGCGCTTTCAAAATAGATTTAAAATTTTGGATGAAATTGGAAAATGCTTTTAAATGGTGTTTTAATTTCCGTTGGCCTTGCAATTTTTCCATTGGTCTACCGAAAAGCGTTGGAGCTTCAATCGGGCTCGTGTACAGGAGACGATGCCGCCCCTCTAATGCTGGATCAAAGCATAGATTTAATCAAACGTGATTTATTTAACCTACCTTTTACTGGTGCTCTCGGTTGGAAACAAGGCGACGAAGAATCTAAATGGGCTCAAAAGGCTATTGAAACACTTGTAAAGAAGCTTAAGAAGCGAAAGGGGGTTGTCGATAGACTGCAGTACGCACTGTCACATCCTGGTGAGCCCAGTGAATGTGTCTCCATTCCAAGGTCTCTCGACGGTCGCATTCAAGTAGTCCTTTAATTGCGGTCAAAATTGTTCCTTAGGTTTCCCATCGAAAGGGGTTTCCGCACGTAATTTACTGTCGCGTTTGGCGTTGGCCAGATCTCCAAAGCCATCATGAATTGAAGTCGCTAGAATGCTGCCAATTTCCATTTGATTCTAAACAAAAGGAGATTTGCATAAATCCGTATCATTATAAGCGCGTTGATTACCCAGGTATTTTTGTTGGGGCAAACCTAACTTGTAGTTCTACCGCCTGTTCTTGTTCCCCGCCAGAGTGAATATCCAACAGTTAAAGAGGGTCAGGCCACATCTGCTTTCGAATTTCCTGACTGTAATTTACTCGCTTATTTACTTACCACTTATAGCTCAAAGCATCGCTTACCAAGAACCCAGATACTGGTGTACTGTCGTCTACTATGAAATGAACACTCGCGTTGGTGAAGCTTATTTTGCTTCGTCACCGAGTGTTCTTGTGGATGGATTCACTAATCCGTCAAAGATTTCTGACAGATTTTCCCTTGGTATTCTCTCCAACATCAATCGTACCCCTGTTGTGGAGAATACGCGGAAGCAGATAGGCAAGGGTAAGCATAACACTTCATTAACCTTTGAGAAGTCTTACATCCCTTTATTTACTGTTTATTTCTTAAAGGCATTCATCTATACACGGTGGCAGGAGATACTTTCATCGAGTGCCTTTCAGACAGTAGCGTTTTCGTTCAGTCTCGTCTCTGCAACGAGAGCCACGGATTCCACCCTACAACCGTGGTCAAAATACCACCAGGCTGCTCACTGAAGGTCTTCTCCAACAGCGAGTTTACTCGTCTGCTTCATCAAACTGTTTCGCTGGGCGTCGAGGCAGTCTACGACATTGTCAAGGTCTGTACTCTTCGCCTGAGCTTTGTGAAAGGCTGGGGGGCCGAGTACCATCGTCAAGATGTCACTTCGACGCCCTGTTGGGTTGAGATTCACCTCCGAGGTCCACTGTTTTGGCTTGATCGAGTTCTGCGTCAAATGGGTCCTTCGCCAAACCCCGTCTCTTCTGTCTCCTAATTTGTGGCAATGCGTAAAATTTCTGTGATAAGCATTTAAACCTTTCACCTCTGCGAATATGCAATTCCTTTGGTTCTATTGAACCGACTATGGCACCTGTAATCATGCATTCCCGGTTATGTTTAATTATTTTCCTTTAAATTTGATTTTGCCCGAATGTCAATTGGTTTTTCTGTTTTCCTTTTCTATCTTCAATTGTATGCACGCATGTAGCCTTTACCTTATGTGTATTCTGTTTATTGTTGCCTATTAGCACTAATGTAGTGTTGAAATACTTGATACCCCGCCTACTACTGCACCTTCAAATGCGCGTTTCTTTCGTTGCCTTGAGTGGCTTGATTACTGCGGGCGTTTGAATGTGTGCAATGAGAAGAGCTAAAGTAGAACGCACATCATACTTTACCGGTATTAAACTAAGTCTTTTTGTCTAGAAAGTTTACGGAACATACGCTGTCTGATCTGTGGGGGGCGTAATCAAAAAGTTGGTTAACAAACAATCGTGACAAAGGCGGACAAAGCGGTTGTTAATGTCGACTCAGTCGAAAATTGTTTTCAATGACCACTGCAAACAATTTCATGGACAGTCCCTCCGGATTAGAAACTTCTTGATCGGCTTGTGCGCATTATGAAGAAAGTAGGGCAATCCGTTCCATAAACGATGGAGGTGGACAATATGCAGTTGAACAACATGTCAGACGGCGTCAATCGCGAACCTGGTCTTTGCCTAAGTGAGAGCAAGTTTTGTCTATCCGTGTTATCTCAAAGTAACGGTGCCTAAACCGGAGTTCAGGCATTCAATTCTTTTTCCCAAGTTAGAAATGTATGATGCAACATTATTCAATTTTCTGCTCGTATGCTCCCTAACCGAGTTTTTCGCTTAGGTGCGAGATTAGTGTTCCTACAAGCAGACATTTTCACCAAAGTTATGATTTTAAGCACTTGCTGGGAATTATTAATGAGCTAATTATCTATAAATCCAGGATGACGGGTATGGGGGAACACTGCTATCTGCTCGTTGAGAACTCTTCTGACACTTCTTTACGTGTTTTCGAGCCAATACGCAGCCTAGAAGTCGTTAATGTGTTATCCTAACTGAGTACCTTTTTCAGTCTCATGTAAGGTTAAGGAAGAATCCGCCGAAGATAGCTCTCTTAGCAAAATTGGGAACAGTTTCATTAGAGCGCTTAATGACTATAATTTCTGTACTGTTTTGACTCGCATTAAGTACGGAGCATATCCTCACTGCCCTCAAACTGGATAGATGATGGAGAACCCAGGGAGATAGTAGATTTGGACTGGAATATTAGATTTCAATTTTCACTTTCAAAGTAACACGATCCCGCTCCAATATATTTTTGCCGAGGTGTTATTCACATTCTCGAGAACCTTCGCATTTAGTGTCCCAAAATAGTGACTAAAATCCAACAGTTTCTCATGTGAGAAATAGAACATGACTAAAAAGCTTCCAATTTGTAGAACCGCCTTTAAAATCTCACAAAACCAACGAATATTTTAAGGGAGTTATAAAGTGTAAAGTGAGTGCATGTAAAGTTGGACTTTTTCCTTTCTTTTAAATATTACAAATATTAAGACACCACTGAGTTTGAACGAAGCAGCACATTTGCGACCAGCCATTATGATAAAATCCCCAGGCTGCTAGACATCGCTGAGTCTGTCTTTTTTATTAGTGGACTAAGATGAAATATTACGCCTTTAAGATATTTTTCATTAGTTCAATAAGCTGCCCTTTTTAATGGAAGAAAATTTGACATGATGCACTGGAGATTTCACCTAGATATCTTTTACAATCATCCGCTTTAATACAAAGGAAAGTGTGTTATATTGCAAAATGAAAGTCTTCAAACGCCAGATCTCGCACTGTGTAATTCATTTTTAGCAGAACCAAGTCAATTAGCCTGCCTGTAGCTTGAAATAAACTTTTGTATGCATTTCAACGTAATTTCACAAAAAAATGACCTTAAGGCATTTTTCTGAAATAATTTGCTCGCGATGCAGAGAAGACAAACCAAACGGCAGAATCAAATACAATGAACGCGCCAGTGTTATGGTCAAAAAATAAAATTATCCACGTTCTCAATCATCATTCAGCAGGAGACAAACACCCTGAAGTATCCAATGACTAGCATCGCGTTCCTCGCCGATGGCCAAGTCGGCCTCAAATACAAGACCCTTTCCACCAGCATCGGCCCTCGCCGAAGTGACGTAGACTGGTGTCAGCAAGGTGGAGTGCCTTTTTGCGCGACGACTCTCCATCACACTCACATTCAGGAGTGGTAGGGGTTGAATGAGTTGGCGTGGTGCCTGTAGACACAGTCGACCGATGCGGGAGTTCCAACTGGCTCCCTCAAGAAAGAGACCATTCAGAAGACAGCCTGCTAGGCTCCTATCTTCCACTGCCTCCTCATCGGTGTATTCGGTAACTGTGGTAACAATGACACTCTTATCAAGGGGCCAGGCGTTGCGGCGACAGGCTGACTGGACGACTGCGGAGAGGTACGACTCGGGCACGTGGAGGCCCGATAGCCAGATGACGATGGGTTCACCAGAGGTGGTCTAAATATTGCAGAAGTATGCAACAATGCCCCTTTTAAACGTTATTTAGACTATTCCTAAAGGGTAATGCAGCATTTTGCTGTCGATATTTGGTTCACTCATCCAGCTGCCATGCTACTTTGCCATCTCTGCCGTGCCAGGTGATGGCATGATGAAAACACACTTTGTCATAATGCCCAATGCTAAATTTCTGGGCCATGTTGCTGTGAGAGCATCAGGATCAACCATTAAATATGCTTATTAATACAATGAATTTATTCATCTGCGTAGCAATCACCTCGAGACAGTAAGTGCGATGGAGTAATTTCAAAGAATTACCAAGTAGGTATGGGATGGGTAGGACCATATTCCATTCTCTCGTAAATTCGACAGAAATATGCCATTAGAAAGCACAGTCCCAAAGAATTCCAATATCTCGTTGCTGAAGAATGAACGTTCAAGCCAAACCGAGACTTTTCAGTTGATAAAATAGAACAAGGATAAAGTGGCTAAAATGGACTTATTTTGTAGCATACTCCTCATGTGCTCTTACGATCTTGTTTTATTGTTGTAAGTAAGGTTGATCCACTTTAAGGTAGTCAATTTCTTCTTGCCCTAAGTACTCAACATGCGCTCTCCTTTCAAAATTGCAAATGCCTGTGAATGCTCGCGTTCACCGTTTCCACAGACGGATTTGTTTTGCGTGCAGCTTCATCACACAACAGGCTATGCGTTGATCAGGCATCCGGGATCGGGTGTTCCACTCGGTGGTCGAGTAATCACAGAAATGACTACTGTATTTTGGGCTCAGGACAGAACCACCATGATCGGGATCTTCGCGGATAGACACACGGCCGTCTTTGAAACATTTACACCATTCAAGTGTCACATTGCTGGGTGACCGAATTTTCTCCTGTAGCAAAGTGCTGTGCAATTAGATATCCACATATTTTGAGCCTTTAGAGACAGAAAATGCAACACGAAACGACATTTTATCCAAGCATTCACAGCCACCTTTGCCTGATATCTTATTTAGACGTGTCTGGACTGGCCCATGACATGAGCACCGGACACTAGCGATGACTTCTACGTGGCGCGTATAGCTGCGCATTGCAAAACCGCAGTGGCATTCACCTTTATGGACCTCTGTAACACTGAATAACCAGCTCGATTTGAACCCCCTTTGTAATATGGATGGAAACGTCGAAACAAAATCCGGGGAAACAGTGATAAGGGAAGGCGACAAATTGCTCAGAAAAGATCTTATTAATGGAATAGAAACCAATGAGGAAAACGGATAAAATAAAGTAAATTGTTACCGTAGTTCGCATGCAATTAATAAACAACATTTATGGAAAAATTAACGTTTAAAGCATACGAAAGTGGACTTAAAATATCAGACAGAGTAGCCAGACAGCAGACAGTGTAGTGCCTGACTCGCAGAATCAAGTGCTCAATGGTTTGACTGCCACTCAAAATGGTCCAGTGAGACTCAACAAAACAGGGCCATTATATTTACAGAGTTGGAGTAAAAGTGGTTAACCAAGAGGAATTGGAAAATAACTTTTAGTGCGTAGGAAAGAAGCTAGCTTTAACATCTATTCAACTCGTGCAAACAGTAATAAAAATAGAGTTGATCTTTTGCTTTGACCTGGTTTAGGCCTTTTTTTACTTTGATTTGGCATGATACCATAACATCATAATACCCGAGAGTGCGGCCCTTGTTGCCTGCGATACCAACTGACATTTATCCGTGCCTCGACACACGAAGCATGCAGAGTAGAAGGAATTTACAAAACCTTTTTATGCCAAATAAATAAATTGTAAAGCTTTTAGGTTTTTTTTAACATTTTGATTCCAGAATTTTGTTTAGTCATGCTTAGAATGAAGGAGATATGTGTAACAGATTGAAGTTACTATGTACCTCATCTTCTAATGGTTTTGAGATGTTTTATCACTAGTTTAATGTTCAGAATTTTACAGAGGGCCGCCTATCACATACCCACGCCTTGTACTGCTCTGTTCTCCGATGTAAATGCGTTAGCCAATTAGCCAGGGACTTCTTCGTGTCAGGAGCAAAGGTGCGCCAAAGGCTAGGCAACTGACCATTGCAGAGGGAAACCGCCAATTGCTCCAGGTCACTAGTGAGAGCCACCTCGCCAGACATCGCCTGCTTCAAATGGCTCAAGGTGGATTGCATTTGGAGGACTAGGCTATTGAAGTGTTCCAGCTCCTAAATATTACGAGGGTCAATTTATATTAAAATTTTAACTCCAGAATACCATTCAATCATTAGCTGAAAATAGGTACTGTTTTTAGCTACAAATACTGGTGCACGGGATCATGCAGCGGTGTCTTCGTTTCAGCATTTACGTGGTATTTTGCTAAGCAAAATATAACATTAGACCTTGACTTTAAGCTTCAGCTCTGCAAAAATTAAACAAGAAGTCAGTGTAAACCATTCTGTACACAAAACGCAGAGCACTGCAACACAATGAGTGCGCAGTTCAAAACAGACTATCACACACAAACACAAACAGCATCTACTGGCGCCTGACACCGTACTCAAAGATTTTCCTCGATTTTTATCCACTCACTACCTCACCTGTAGAAGTACAACAGTAGTAGGAGTCATCTTTTCCTTAAAGGCCTCCCTAATGGCCTCTCTGTCGAAGGGAGGTGGCAGAGATTGAAGCACTTTCTCTGCGACCTCGATGGTCAGGGTGGTTTGAGCCGTTGCTGTCGTGGCAGCATTGCTGCCGCTCTCACCCTCACAACCCAGGGCCAGCAGATAGGACCAGAGTTTGTGAGCTTTGCTTGTGAAGCTGTTGATTTCTGCGTTGGGGTTCAAACCCAGTACCTCGGGCGAGTTGTTCGTTGGCAGTGTGTCGATGTACCCTTGTAAACGTTTGAGATTATTAAAGTCGCAACAAGTTTGCGATTATTCGATCGGGAAAATTGAGATTTGGTTTCTGGTACCTGGATTATCAGGTGCAGTAACCACCATAACTTGAGAAAAAGGAGGTTTTGCTTTCTTTAGAAATAAAATTATTGTAAATGTGGTTCAACTATGCTCAAATAATGACGCCTAAAGCTTTTGTGAATGTGCACTGCCAAGGACGAGTGCAAGCTTAACCTAAATCGAGAAGGACAGTGAAGCTTTCGCGAAAAAGATTTTAAATAAAGGAACCATACAGCAACACACCATGACAACACATATGCCAATGTTTGTTATAAAACCGGATTGCTTATGGACACCATAGTGTGTAATGCTGGCCAATACTTACACTATTCCAAACAAAACGTGAAGCAAAATCACACCATAGCACCACAGTCACTAAATGCGGAACCACCATTGTTTCCGGATGGCGGGAAAACCTTTTCAAGCCACGAGGTTTCATGTGAGTCCCTTTTGGGACCTAAACGCCAGGAATACATATAGTCCCTTGAAAGTTCAAACAAAGCCGGGACCATCAATGGAACAATTAAACAATACTGGAACCTCAACTGTGATCAAGCCAGTCACTCCTATGTGCCAGGAACGTCTAGCGCAGACTCTTCTCCATTGGCTGCAATGGCTGGGAGATTAAAATACCTACATGGAAGTGCACTCTCATCTGCTTCTGTCGCGGTGATTCATATCCGCTTAGTCACTAGGTTAGGCATCTTTGATGCGGGAAGGAAAGCAGGATGCATGCATACACACACAAGTGGATGCTCTGGAAAAGGCCAACAGTTACCGAAACACATGCAAATGGAGCTTGATAAGAAATCTCCCGCATTCCTAAGCCATAAATCCACAAATTGGGTGTCGTAAAAAGCAGCATGAACATATGCATATTTAGGGCGTTAGCCTTCCACCACTCCTTCTACAGTGAACGGGACCATGTTAATGGCTACCTGAACATAAAATCCATGTTTTTGAGGGTGTACTGTTATAAAACGAATCCGGTTTTCTGCTGTTTATACTTTACTTCGTCGCTGATGCTACAGCGGGGACAAATATCACTTACTTAGAATGCCTTCTCTTGAAGTATCAGAAGGGAGAGCGTAAGTCAACTCCTCATTAATGAAGAAGTGGAAGCGTTGAAAGGTATCAAAGAGGAAGTCCCCAAAGTACTCATTCATATAAGTATGGAGAACACGTTGATCAAATTTATCCATAACTCGACCTCCGTACATGATCTCCTCTATGAGGTATTGTAGACTACCCCACGGTAAACCGGATTTGTCTCTAGACGACTTCAGCTGATCCGCAATCACTGTCAGACTTGCCTGGAAGTCCGATAGATTGAAGTCATAGACAACGTTCCAACCTAACTTGCCGTACTGCCGACGCTCTTGAACGACAGCGTGGAAGAAGGTGAGTGTGTATGCCAATACTGGAAACTCCGGATATGGATTTTCAGCAAATATGGAGGCTGGAATTTCTAAAAATGTACAGCGCAAGTTCCTCTTGAGTCCGACCAACGGCTCGGTTACAACCTTAAACGAATGGTGAAGAAACCCAATCGGGAAGTCTGATGTGGATTCAGTCGTAAGCCAGAGTCGAAAAGTTGGATGGAACTGTTTCGTGGTTTCAATTGCCTTTTCTAGCGTCGGAATCCACTTCACCAGAAGGTGGCAGTTTTGTAGTACAAGCCAGGAACCCTTGGATGAAGCAGTTTTAAAGAGCTTCATTGCAGAGCTCTCCTGACCTTGGCCCATGGAGAGGAATATAATGTTACTGGAGGCATTCAAACTGAGGGATTTATCTGCAAGCTTTTTTAAACCTTCAGTTGGATCAGAACCGGGGCTGAGGATAAATATAATGGGCGTTTCTGGTTTACTCTGTTCGTAAACGGAAGACAAACTTGGCCCGTGTAAGGTCAGAAAGTGTTCACCCAGAGTGTTTGCGACGAAAATTTCTACGGCTCTACACACCCGATCCACACGGAAGCAGCGGAGCAGGCAGAGCTTTTGAAAGTCAGAAACGTCTTGAAAATACGGAGGTGGCTCACATTCCAACGAATTGAGGGAAAACCACTGTGTAACAAAATATGGATTATCAAAATCAAACTGATAAAAGATGAAGCGTTGGGATGGCATGAATAACCTTACCTTTTTCCATTGTTTTTGATTTTCTACCAGACTTTTACTCAATCCTACGAAGGAAGAGGGAAGGACCTCTTCCAGGCGCCGAATATCCCTCCATTTGGTGTCTGTGAGCCATGCTATTGGACAGCGCTCAGTCATTTTTCCAACTGAAACATCCCCTTTGGTAAAAAAGTCAACTTCGGCTTGGCTTACACGCCCTGCCTCTGCTTGCAACTTTAAGCTGATTTGAAAGCTGAATAGCAGCTTGTGACGTTCAAAAAAACCTGAAAAGGACAGTTAAAACATTCTGGGACCTAAATTAGGCAGTTATTTGAATTTATCTTCATTATATCTGCGTTTCTAACGATCGAAAGCCTAATTTAATTGTGTTTCATAAAACAGCAATGTGTTGTGGACAATGCCTGTATTACAATGTTCCGATATGTTTCGGCGTCCACCAGCCAATTAAGCTGAAGCACGAGTGGCATAAGTTTCCGTGAGTTTCTCTTAGATGCATTGGGTAAAATAGCCTTAACATCTAAGGGCCAATGCAAGCACATCTACCGGCTTTTGAGGCTTTAATTTGTTTCTTTAAAATGATTAAGACTACTTAGCCTTTATTAAAGACGGCGCCACGGGTCCTGGCGTCAGAGGATAGGACACATATGTTCATGGCATCATAAAGAGTTAATTAGGCCACTTCTGTCCATTTCCCTTCTGGGGCGTTGCGATGATTACCTAACCAACCCTGATCAACGATTGGTTAATATACCTTTAAACAAACCTCGCTCTCAAAGACCTCTTGTAAGTGATCAGGAAAACTATCATGCTGAATAAGGACAAACAGAAAAGTACAGAACGAAGTTCTTTTCCATCTTCATAGCATAAAATCAACTAAGAGCGATTAATTTTTGGCTATGAAAGGAATGACTTAGGACGTTTTATAATTTAGCGAAGCAATTTTTACATAGCAGCTTTACACTTTAGGTATACTGCATTGTTAGAAGATGCAGTAACAACATCTCTCAGAGAGGGAGAACTCCTCTGCCAAGGCAAGGTGGGTCGAAATGCTAATTTTACACAATGTTGCACACCAAAACAAACCACTAATCCTCAATCGCCTAATAGTCAACTGTTATTTATTACCCCCAGTAAGTACCCACGAAATTTCTTGACAGTTTCACCTCGTCGTGTAGAGACAACTGCATTCCATTTTGAAAGCTAATAATGAAGTTACAAACAATCTCCTCTTCTTGAACTTTCTTTAAAGATAGTGTAGCCAAATCACATAACAAAGAACAGTCAACAAAGGATGAAGATCAAGAATCAGCCAACCTGTATTTTTAGGCTCAACACTTCCTACTACTGCTTATGCATGACTCATATTTCCTACGCAAATATGCTCCTTAAAAAAAGCTTTTTATGCCGCTTTAATGGCAAAGCATCCAGGATCATCTGTGCTAGTTCATCATAGTGGAGATAGTTTATCCACTTATAAAATTTTTATTTTCGATGAGAAATAGAAATAGCAAATTTTGAACCAGGGAAACAGCCATTTACAAAAATTAGGTGATGGCAAACAAACTGCGCCCGACCAAAAGTGATTAACGTAAACTTTTTTTGCAGCATCTTCCGTTTCTCTACTGCAAGAATACAAAGTTTTTCCCTAGCCATCCAAAGCTCTGGAGTACATTCTTAAATTAGGATATAAAAGAAGCAACTTACATATCAATGGTACCAGAAAATGATATACGTACATTCGCCATTGGGTTTCATTTGTTAAATTATTATGACAGCCATCCAAATGGAAGGAATCACTGCTTTACTTACCAGTACATCCATAATTGTAGACAACTTCTGTCAGCGTAGAATTTATATTGCCTAGCCGTTTTCCCAAAACCGTGTCTGGTATGCTCCTGTGCAGAGTACCTTCGAAAAGCGAGATGTAGGCGGACAGCCCAAACTGGTACATGGGGTTAACGGTGGCCATATCGGTGAGAGCGAAGAAGAGCAAAGCACCCCGTTTGGCTGCTGATCGGTAGGCGTTGCTCAGCTGCTCCACCTCCGCTGCCGTCTTGGCTGTGAGGGCTAGCTTCTCCTGTGCTTCTATCGCCCTCGCCTTGGTCACCTCTACTATGTTAACCAATTCCTCGTTATCCAACAGGTTGCCAGTGCTGAGGGTCAGGTTCATCAGTAGGCTATCTTCCAGGTCCTTCAGAATTCGCCTGTTCTCGCTGAAGGAAGAGAACTACCAGTGATGGATATCGTTGATTAAAAGTGCACAGCACCTTCGGTGAGATTTAAAATCGAAATGAGTAGCTTATCCTGCATAGTTAAAAATCCTCCATTTTTAGGACCAATCACCAGACCAAACTATTTAGTGAGGCGTTCACAAACCTCTTAGTATGTATTAACAATGTTTTCTTTTCCTCCAAACTACTTTGCTCATGTTTTACTATGACTCCCAGAAGTTGATTTTCCAGTGTTTCCTCTGTTATGGTGTAATTAATGACAACCGCGTTGCCGAATGGCTTGGGTCCATACGCAGGATTCGGCAGTTTTGTATTGAGGTAGAGGCGGAAATTCCAGTCATATTCCACCTCCTTGTCACCCAGCATGACAAAGTATCGATTCTACAACAAAAAAGAGTAAAGTGAGCAGGCCTCCAGACAAGCAAAACACTGTAAATTGCGACCTACCCTATCCCTCAGAATATTTTTTGATAGTACATTATTGATAATGGGATCGATGTATTCCCCAACATTTTCAAACAGGAATGGTGTCCCAAACTTGATTGATAACTCGAGGGATTTCAAAAAGTCTGGATCATTGAAGGTGGCTACTCTTAGACTATTATTCTCCTCCAACCGCTTTATCCACTTCAATGCCTGTTGTTGTGGATCGATGAGAATGGGAAACCTCGAGGCCCGCATAGTAAGAATCCCATTTTGAACACCTGAATCATCTCCTGGTAGACCAGCGTCCTTCCAGTTTGTCACAGTCACCTCGTCCGTGAGGAGATGAACCAGACTGAAAGGTTTGGTCAGGGGTATTTTACGGTTCTGGAGGTCTGGGATCCAATCATCGTGGAGCATGCGATGTCGGAGATTGTAGAAGAAGGCTCCGGTGTATGTGAGGAATGCGGCCGAGACAAGACAATCTCCCACAAGGTGTCGACGTGCCTCACAAAGCGTGTCCGCTTCCATCCTCCATCGAACGCTCTCGCAGCTGAGACCGTTGATTAACTTGTCAGCAGCAGCCAAACGTCGCTCCATGATTGCAGTCTCCTCTTGCAAAGCCACATGCTCTGTCTTGGCTGTGGAATATTCTTTGTCCAGTTTTTTGATGTCCTCCTCCACTTTTGCGAGTTCGTGTTTCATGCGCTCTAAATCGCGCCCGTTCTGCGATCGGTGAATTGAGATAGTTAACCATAAAATCAAAAATTAAAGGGGATAATCTTTCCACCGTTTTCTGGCATGCCTTTTTTGCTCAATATGTGAAAGATTCCCAATTCATTTGCTTTGTGAACATTGGTGAATGCCAAGGCATGAATTACACATTCACAAACCCAAATGTGTGTGCGCGTAACGAAGCAAATAATTTGCATCGGCTCAAGTACACTTCAGAGGATTTCTTTTAAATTTGGTCATTTGGTCATTTCATGCAACATCTGGGAGATCTATGTGTTATTAAGTGATGTCGTTCCGAATACTAGAGCAGTTTAGACTCGAAATGAAGCATTTTATAAAAACCTTTTTGTCAATGCGATGGGGAAATTAACACGATGTATCACAGGACATAATTGCATCCAAGTTGATTCACAGCGGAGAGGGATGTCTTGATGCATACCAGATACGCTTGTTTGGGTGTCTAACTCCCAATTGGCCAGACGAGAGCAAACGCACGCTATTAGGATGAATAACGTCTGGATCGGGTGTAAAAGTATGCGATAACGGAAAGCCTGTTCTGCATGATAAATTTTTGATACAATAAGTTCCAACATACCACTCTTTGATATTTAAGTAAAGGATATTTCTGACAATATTTTGAAGAAAAAAGTGTTTAGACGAATAATTGCATTTAGTACTGAAAAGAGATGTGAAGGTTTGATTACCTGCGCGAATAACTTCTCCAGCTTTGCAACTTTTTCACGCTTTGGGCGAACATCCTTAAGGACTTCACAGTAGCACAAGACCGCACTAACAAATCTCAAAAAACCAGCTCCAGCCCGGCTCACCGATTGCATTTGCTCCATACCGAGTTTTGAGGCGCCCAAGCGCTCTGAACAATAATAGGAGCTCAAGATATACCTTACATCTGTGTCATATAGCACTGCACCTCGCCTTAATTTTTGGCGCATTTTAACTTAATAAGATGCCTCCTAATTGGGACAATTTGGATCTTTTAGTAGCCTATTAATTGGCTTAGTCATGTGAATTCATTCATAATTAACTCAAGCAAAGTTGCTGACTTTCATGGTTTGCCAGGAAAAATCAGCATTAAAGATATCATGACTGTCATTAAAAAGCCATGTTAAATTAAATTTCCCCTTCTTTCAGAGGACAAAATCGAAACAAGAATTACCATCAGTTATAAGGACAAATATATGGGACTGGTTTAAGTGTGGAAGAAGCCGATCACAAAGTACGATCACAATGAGGAAGCCAAGATTCGATCAAGGGATTCGACTAGTGCACTTTCCATTATGTTGACATTTTGATTAATGTATCGTAGACCCTGAATACCTTTGGCGGAAGCCAACTGTTTCGGTCCTATACCATCGACATCCATCGTTTGAAGGGACTGCAAAAAGTTGGCATCGGCCATCATGCCTTTAGCCGCTTTCCAGGAGACTTCGGGTAATCCCTTAAACACGCATATACACTCCGACACCACTTGAACTGGCCGGGGAGGCTTGACGAAGGAGCGTATCTCCGTCACATCGTTTTTGTCCAGCTCGCCCAGTGCAGCCCGAGCTTGTTCAAGCGCTGGTAAGGCTTCAGCTAGAGCATTTTCTGCTGCTGCCTAGATATTAAACGAATCCAGAAAAGAACCATAGTAATGTGATACTCGTATCATTTAAAAAAAATGAGGAGAAAAAGGCACCTTTTCTTGCTCAATCGCCTTCGATTGGGTCTCCATCTCTTTGGCCTTTTGCTCGGACTGTGTCCGTTTCTCAGTGGCGAGAATCTGATTTTGTGTGATATTTTTTAAGAGAGCTTCGCATGCTTCTGTATTTTGGGCCAGGGCCATTCGCTGTGTCATTAGCTTTTCATTGAGTTCTTTGACCTGAACTGCTGCATCTTCAAGCTTTGTAACGCCTTTAACAAAGCGCTCACAAAGGGCTACTTTAGACCGTTCATTATCTAAAAGCAATCTGGGGAAGAGGAAAAGCTTCGGGATAAGTAAGGATAATCAAAGAAAAATCTCTAGTTTTATTACAAACTAAAAATTAAGCATTTAGTTGTGTGCGAGGAAATATTGGAAGCAACAAATCACCTATTTTCAAATACTTGTTCATTATATAGCACCTTAAAAAGGATGCATATTTGCACATAATATCCATCATTCTACCATTCCATTATTTTTGGTCGGTCACTTAAGAAATGTCATATTTCTTCATTGGTAAAACAACAACATTCAAAATTAGCGAAAGTGCTTAAAATGTTGTCAGCTAAAGAAAGGAAGCGATCAGGACCAAGGTTAGACAAAACGAATGTTTGCTATTCCGAACTGCTTGTTGCTTCGGAAATTGAAGGACTTAACGTATTTCCTGACAAACTTTCGAGCACTCAATTTGCCGGTTATTTATGTTCTTTTTCTCATTAATTTTCTAAACGTTGCGAACTTTACATTAGTAAAGTAATTTTAACGTAGTGTAAAGGGGCATTACCATTATGTGTGACCAAGTAAAAGGTATGTTTCTGTAATAGACATTCACAACAGGGACCCAAGTAATTTCTTTTCAAGAGTAAGGTACTGAAAACAAATTGCAATCCAATTTTCTCCATTTTGAGCTGTTTTTGTGTCATGCATTATTTTCTCCAGACAGAGAGGTCATCAGATGTATCTTTAGCGTCATCCAATGAGGTTTTTGAGCCTCCAACATGACATTTTTCGCCATCATTTGAGCGACAGCACCAGTAGTACTGTTTACTCCAGTTAGAGAAGAGAGTATTCCTATAAACGTTGGCTGCCGAACCTTTGATTTTTTCCTCAGCAGTGTCAATCCTTCTCCATCGAATTGTTTCACTGAATTTTGCTTTCCAGGTTATTTTATCCTACCAGATACGGTCACGGGCCTTAACCAAATCAACTGCCCAGCGGTTCCTATTTTGGGTTAATTATGCTCTGTACCTCTAGCAGCTATTTCAGTACTCTTTCCTGAGGACACAAATCATACTATTCCATGAAATAGGGCTAGAGCTCTTTCAGGAATACAGATGTGAAAATAAGACAGTTTCGTCTTTTCTACAGAGTTGAAGCTGATTTTCTTCCATGTTTCGAACACCTGTATAATTTAATCACTTTACTGCTTATTACTGCTGGCATAAGACATAGCAAATATTAACTCCATAAGTTTAGATGCTTTTTAATGATTTCTTAGAGCAATTACTGTCGCCACTTACTTCAGATAGTTACCAATGTAATCAAGAAAGTGTTTGGGGGTGACATAATTGGTCCTCTTCCACTTTTCCACAAACTCCACCGTGTACTGCTCCACTGAGCGGTGAACATGGACTACATGGTCGATGAGTGTGTCGTAGTGAGCTGCAGGAATGAGCTGGTTGTCAGGACAGAGGATTGTTTTTGCCACCGTGTAGAGGGCCTCTTCTGGCCAGGCAAAGAACCAGTCAATCGTCGTGTTATTTAAGAGTCCAGGGAAATTCATGCAACGCCTTCTCAAAGCGTTTCCAACCTGGAACAGGATTACTTAGCTGATGGAAGTTCTCAGTAAGATCAACTTTGTACCCGGCCAAGTGAAAAACTCCCATTTGCAGAAATAAAGTAGCTGCACCACTTTTCGCTCTTATTAATTGGAATTCATTACCAGAGAAAAAGTACATTGTTTCTTATTTTAATAAAAAAAAGAGAGACATTTTTGGGAATAAACTTACAGGACTCATGGTTAAAATAATGTGAAGGCTTTGGTCTGCTTTCTGTGAAAGATACCTCCAAATGCCTTCTCTTGAGCCATCAATTCCTGCATCCATTGCTTCCTGCTGCATATCACTAGCAATGGTCTCACGTTCCTCTTCGGAGAACAGCAAATTGGCATCCATGCCGACTAACATACGATTAATAACTTCCAAAACACCTACCAGATTATCTATATTATGATACACAATACCTACTCTCATCAACTATATCGTCTTCAAGAACCAGAAAAACGATCTTTTTGTTCTCCTGCACCAATCGCAAGTATAGAGTCTTAATTTCTTCTCGGAAGTCGGTTTCTGCATAATTTCGGCGTGGGGTTATCCGAAACACCTCGCACCCAGCAGCAAAAGCAGCCAATTCAACAAGAGCGGCCTTTCCAGTCCCACTGACACCTACACACAGGGCATGTTCACCTGTTGTACTTATTATTCTGTGAAGACGACTCAAATGCTCCAGAGCGTCGTCGAAAAGAATCAATTTTGAGTACTTTGATCGCTTTTCTTCTATCTGAATAAAAACTCGGCAACTCAGAGTTATTAGGTGGCAGAAAATATACCGTGAGGCCGACAACTTACATCGGAAAAGATTTCTCTAGCTGTGTTATAGTCTCCCACATCTTCGTAATAGGGTGCTTCCTCTTCCTTTAGGGCGGTTTTGTACTCACCAAAGAGTATAGGATCACACAGAATATCCTCTTTGGCTGTCGGATCCAGGTTCGCAGCTTCAGCGTTAATTTTATCCTAATTAAGTCTACTTGAATAGTTGTAATTGCCTACCTTGACTAAAAGGATGTCTTCCTTCGTAGACAACCGGTCAACAAAAACTCTAAATAGCTCGTGTCGCCACAGGCGAGCCACTTGCGGAAGGGATGAACACCTACTGGGGGAAACACGGCACAGACCACCACACACTCGACGAAGGTCACGAAAATTGAAACCATAAGAGAATTTGACGGGCGAAGGGTGCAGCTTCTGCAAGAGAAACCTACATGAGGTGTCTGGATTATTTCGGTGCGCATCTGCTTACGTGTAGACATTAAGAGTGGCCTGCGTGATGGCCGGTACTGCCTGAACAACCGCTTCCAGGGAACCGGTCTGTAAGTGCCCCGAGAAGATAGATGAGAATATTTGGCCTAAAGTTGTGTCCCTAGGAGGAGTAGCATGGAAGAGCGAGAAGAGGGAGAGACAGCGGGGATCAACACAAACTCGGCCCTCACAAGGCGTTGTCATTGCGGCTAGATAAGAGGTATCGAGGACTCGACGCCATTTAAAATCACTGCTGGAGCGATCGAAGAAACCGTGATTGGTGAGAAGGAGCTTCAGGAGGGCTACGGGTTGTTGGGTACCATATGGATCGGCCTCAGACATGTGTAGGTCGTCGATGAAGAGCAGTAGACGTTTGCCCGCTCTGGGGCCGTAGAGGCCCTTGTTGCGCTTTTCTAGATTAGCATCAAGGTCGTTGTACAAATCGAGGGCAGTGGTGCGGGCGGAGAAGGTGACTCGAAGGATTTGCTAAACCACAATATCAGTTGAATGAATGGACTCTAGGTAACCAATTTTTAAGGAGACTGATTCTTAATAAATGAGATCGTGTAGCGACATGAACAGGAGGTTTGAGTGACAATATTTATTAATTTTATAATTTAAAAAGTCGTATTCGAGTGGTATTTTTATTCAAATGATTTGCAATGATTGAACTCTTCCTGAAAAGCTTCTTAAGAGTATCATAGTTAGTAGCTAATATAAATCTGAATCATGTGTGAAGTAGATTCTCTTCTTTCGTAGGTTTCGTAGCATGCTAAATATCTTTATAGTTAAAGAATCAAAACCGGACTTAACTCAAGAAATGTCAAGATCAACTCACGTGGGTAATATTGATCTGTTCAGCTAGGAACTGATTCACTGAAGCTGTCTTAAAGGTTCCTGTTTCCCCGATTAATAGTATCGGTCTATTCACCTTCGCATGTGTCTCCAGCACCCACTGCATCACCACAGTTTCACGTGTCGGCACAACAATGTCAGTAAAGTACTGCGCGGGGTCATGCCGGTAGTGTGGCACTCTTGAACTCCACGGCACCCAAGCATTGTTTTGTGCATCGAAAAAGTAGTCTTCCAGACGTGGAAGTGTGTCAGGGAGGAAGCCTGCGGGAACACTACTTCCAAACTCGCCTTGTTCTAGTTTCGGGAGAGCAGATATCTCCTTCACCTTCTCGTCAAAAGCTGCCCGATCAGAGTCTCTCAAGAGACACGAGCCAAAGGAGAATGTTAATGCTTGTAAGAGAAGGGCTTCCAGACAATCTGCAGAGGCTTCCAATACACCGATTAGTAGACTTTCGAGCAGATGACACAACTGAATAATAAGACTAACGGAGGTGAGAGGAATGACAGTGTTGAGATTCAAGGCCATGAGACGAGGAATATACTTCGTGAAGAGATTATCTAGAATCTGGATGTAAAAGGTATCCAATTCCTTATGACTCAATTTCCAGCGTTGCCATAAAGCTGAGTAGTCGAGATCGTGTGGGTCGACAAAGACCATACCGCAACGGGAGACGGTAGCTGGAGAGGCGTATTCCAAATCGCCAACCTCAAAAAGGAGGCAGCAAGTGGGTTCAAGTCGAATACGTTCGCCGTTCGGGAGGGTGAGAACTCGGTTGTCGTCCATCACGGAGTTCATGTTCTCTACCCAAAGGGAATCAACGTCGCCGTCAAAGAGAATGATATTATTTATCTGAAAAATGTTAAAAAATTCACTAACAGGTGAGGTAACATTGGTGAAAATATAATATTAGGTAAAAATGTAAAATTGAAGGAAAGATCTCGTTCGATCCTATGAATCAGTTAATAGCTGGTTCCACTAAACCCGATGGCATATTACGTGATACCTTGAGCTACTGGCATCTATTAGAGGTGACCCCGATACTTAGGCTGATGATGCAGGTATTTTTAATGCGAACGAAAAGTTTTTTTGCCTTTTCAACGCTGCTAAAAGTGTGGAAGAACCATCAACACGCGATTACGTCTCGATGACTTCAACAGTTGAAGGATATTAGATATGAAATAAATGCATTATAGTTGCTTTTTCTAACTGAGTATGGTGAAAGAAGATGACATCCCGCTTGAGATGACAAAATGGGAAGTAGGCAGTAATGGCGTTGTGAAATAAAAGAGAATCGAGACTAAACCAAAGGTATTGGATCGCTTTTCTAACCTTCTTGTGCGACGGTTTGTTGGCATCACGAAAGATCCTTGAGAGCAAACCATCTGTCCAGTCCCGTGTATTCAAATCAAGCACACCATAAAGCTCTGCTATGTTTCTGTCCTTCGGGTTCAGAGTTATCAGATTCGTCGCGATGCCAAGTCTGGTTTGTGCGCCACAAAGTGCTCTAATTACAACGCTTTTGCCTCCACAAGTTGGACCCACCACCATTGTGGCGTGACGTGTTTTCATTGTATCATGCAACTGCACCACCTTCTCTACCTGTTTTGCTAATAAGACGAAGCGCTCGCTGGTCAACCAACCCTCGACAGCTTCAGTAAGCTCCTGATCCTCCGATTTTGGACATGATAACCCCGGGAACAGGTCACCGATGAGGTCAAGAAAAAGATAAGCATCCTCATGAAGCAGCCTTGGTAGATTTACCTCCCGAAGCGCCCGAATAATCACCGTTGCTTCGTCAAAATTCATCTTCCTTCTTCTTAGCTCTCCGGCCAATTGCAGTACTGCCTTCAGCGTACGCATACTGAAATCGTAATGGTGCTGCCGCGACAGTTGCCGGTCTGCCAGATGGTACAGGGTATTTATCTTTGTCGCCAGTATGCGAGCACTTGAGAAACCCTGAGCGAAGAGCATCACCTCGCAAATCAACTTCCGATGGGGAACAGCCACCATAATCTGTCGGAATTGCACCTTTAATGATTCTGGCAACTCTGTGCGACCCATATAGCCCGGATTCATGGTGATGAAGACACCGACCTGACTATTAAAGGCAATCTCCTCACTTTCAAAAACAAATTTGCGTGCGGCTTGAAGGTGGGCGGTTTGGATGAGACGAAGCTGAGCGGAGATAACCGAGAGCACGCTTACTTCGATGCGGTTAAATTCGTCAAAACAACCCCATGCACCGGTCTGACAGAGGCCAGAGAAGATCCGGCCCACTGATCGATAGTCCATGGCATCACCGCAATTAGTCACAAGGCAAAGGATAGCTAGGGCCTTTGCCAGATCCTTCACAGTTTCCGTTTTGCCAGTGCCCGCGGGACCGGCAGCACAAGCGCCCAAATGCATGCAGAGGGCCTGAGTGAGGGTGAGGTAAATGCGGTCTGTCAGTGGAGTAATTACTAGGCGACCGTTGAGACCCATGTACTCGTAACCGTAGTCAAAGGTGGCGTTGCACTGGTGGATGGTTAAATTGTCACTGCTTCGGCACCAGTAGAAACGAAGCTGTGATTGCCACCCAAAATCTTTTGCCTTTAACGATAAAATAACACATACCACAATTATTCATCTTCCAGAAATAAATGTGCAAATGCAATATCATATTTTTAGGATATTACAATTAAAATTTGACTGTCTTTCTTCTATGTTGAGTCGTCTCAAACATGTTTGCAATTTCTCTCGAGAGAAATAGTTTTATGGTACCTAGTTGTTAATCAGAAACCAAGAGAGAGGGACTTTGCAGGTTGAAAATCACGATTTTGAAGGAAATTTATGCAAACAACTGAACTAATAGTTTTTAGCCGAGCCTCTGAGAATATCGGGTGGCAGAGTTATTCGTGCAGTTCATGGCGTAGCTCTTTGCAATGGCTTGTCGTAATTTGTAGGAACTTGATTTTGTAGGCAGTTGATGGGCTAGAAAGACTTGTTTTAATTAACACTGGTTCGAAAAAGTTTGATTTGAACCAAGAAAACCCACCTCAACAATACTGTCTCGGATGAAACAATCAACAACATCCCTCGAATGCACGTCGATGATTAGGAGGGTGGTGAGTTTAGTGCGATCGTTGGGCGACAGATCTCCACGAACACAACTGACAATCTCTTCTAATTGGCTGCGCTGTTGCCTGGCAAGGTCCTTCATGGCCGCCTTGTCGTTTTTGGTGCCCAGATGTCGGAAGGCGTCCTCCACTTTCCAGGTCCACCACACCTGACTAGCTGCCAATACTACCATGCCCTGGTAACGCAGTGCCCATTCAACTCTGAAAACGAAAGTGAACAACACGTTTAGGTTTAGCATGTTATGAAATTTTGAATTAAACTTGAAAGCTTCACTCGCTTTAGTGACTGAAAAATGTCATTATGATTTTTAAGACAGGGTCCACTCTAGGAAAAATTGCGAAAAGTTCAGAAACAGAAAATGTAAACCTGGAAAAATTTTGCATATTAAATATTATTAATAAAGATGATTGTCTCATTTAAGATACTCAACTCGCATAGAACTTTAGGAAGACTGTTTATGTCTAACGATTGCTTAAGAAAAGGCATGATTTACGAAAAACAGCACCAGATTAAGATTTAACTTAAGGACACGTTCAAAGTAATCTCACCTTGTTGATGCCTCACAGTACCGGTAAATAGCCCCTTTTGTGATCATTCGATTGCTTCTTTTCATCTCTATCTCTATCTCCGTCATCCACTCTTCAATTCGACCTGTACATTCTATGGGCTGCTTAAATTTCATCACTTCTCCTTCGGTGGACCGCATTCCCATGGCCAGTAAGACACCTTGATCAGTTCTAGTGAGCTCCAGGCATATTATGTTGTCGAACATCTAAAATAAACCCAATGCCACTGTATGCAGTCAGGTGACATGTCAGACGAAGTTAAGATTAGGTTAGGATCAAAATTTTAGGGCTTTATAAACGCAATGCACTTTCGTTGGTGTAATGAAAATGTCAACAGTGGCCACTTTTCTCACCCAAGTCCAGAAAAAAATTATCTTTTCCTATTCTACGCTGTGCCAGTCACTTCAGTGCTTTGAAGGCTTAATCACTAAAGCCAGTCCAAATGCAAGACTTGGGGATGGATTAAAAGATAGATAAAACCACATTTGCAGAGCGCTACAGCGCCCTTACCTTGATTATGTGTTCCTGAGCGCAGTCGCCTTCACTTGCGCCAAGTATCATCAGCAGCTCGTCGTCAGAGATAAAAAAGAATCGTGGAAAGACGTTGCGTTTTGTTTTGAGGTAAGTAGTCAGTGACTTTTGGCATATCTCAAAGCCGGCAATGATTGACTGCAGCTCCTCCACTCGCCCTGACTTAAGGCACCAATTGCGCACGTAAGAATTCCTTGTAGCTTCTTCAACAGTCTGGAAATAAGAGTTTGATGCATAAAAACCCGTTCAAGGTGTAAGGCATTGATTTTTTTCGCCTTTTATTTTCGTTCGCAAGGGAACTTAGAGGCCTCGTCTTTGTACTTCTGGTAAGCGACATGATCCTTGAGTCCTGCCAGCAACCCCCAG